CCCGCCTCCCATCTCCCTCCTTTCCCCTGATCCAGGAGTTGTGCAACAATTAGTGCAACAGCCGACAGCGAATGCAGGTGAAAGGCTGCTGGCCAAACCGATTCGGCTCACATTCCATCCGAGCCCAACAAATCCTGGCTGAAAAGCACGCGCTACAGATATAACCTCCCCCCTTTTAACGACCCTCCGATATTGCGGCTTAAATCTATTGAATATCACTTAACAAGGCGCAGCTGTCAGCGGTTACCATAATGAATCGTTCACGGCACATTGTCTCAAATTACATGATATCATTCCCCAAACGCAGTTCCACCAAATCCCACAACCGGCGGCTGCACGTGACACAGCTCCGATCAGATAGGAATGTACTGAACACAACATATGGAGATCTATCCACCGCTTATAGGGTCAAGCGTTTCTGTTTTCGGTAGTCGCCGAGCAGGAACTGAACTCGTTAGATTATCGTGCACACACTTTCGGGTACCCAGTAGCCGGAGATCTGGAGATCGGTTGTGACTAGGCAAAAGTCATGGGGAAGTGGACACTCTTAAATTTATGACATTAAATTTTGTGTATGACTTTAAAACCAAGGCAGCGCAAAGACATTCCGCATATTTTTGGTCATAGTCTTGCTGTGATCTTCAACATTCTTTGGCTTAAATGGCACGAAGAAATACTTGCAGTTTTCTAGGCCAAAGCACTGATGAAAAGTAAAGATTAAGCCAAAATGAAACATCAATTAAAGTCACGACAGCGAAGAAAGTATCGTTGCAATTAGAGAAGTAATGAAACCTTAAATGAGCAGGTAGAAACTGAAACTTACAGCAATTTATAAACCTACGTTAACTTTTAATTGAAGAAAGTGAAATTTTAAGAAAAAATCATTGTTATTTAGAGGTTAAATAAGCTATGCATTTTTATTCTATTATAAAAAATGTATTTATTAAAACTAAAAAAAGTTAAAATTAAACAAAATAATTATTTAACTAGGACAATACAAATTAAAATCCGAAAATGGTTAAGGGTCATTTATTTTTATATTTCTAAAACATTTTATAATTTTGTTTAACTGTTTTAAATCTTTTTATACAAATATTTATAAAATTGTCAAATTTCAAATAATTTTTAAAAACTAAAAATTAAATAACCTAAGCTTTTTAATATCGAAATCTGTTTAAGACTTTTCAAGTACTGGTGCAATAGTATACAAATCTTTAAGCAGAAATTAACCTTTTTCCCTCTTATTTAACACACAAAAAATTCTCTTAGCTCCTTCGACGCAATGGCCATTTTTGGTGCCCCAAGTTGCACTTACTTGTCAAAGGTCGCGGCAAGCGAAAGTGACTTTGTGCGTCCTCTGTTTTCAGGTTTTCTTTTTTTTATAGCCTTTTTTTTTGCAGTTGGCCAAACCCGTTTCCTGCGGTTGCGGCATGCCACAGGCAGAAATCCGAAATCAGCTGCACGGGAAGAAAAAAAGAAAGAGAAAAAGATGCGGTGGCATCGCACGGCCTGACCTACATCCTCCATCGGTGGCAACTCCCAGTTCCAGGTTGCGCAATCCCCCCGAGGAGGCATAAAAAATCACTTAGAGCTAACCTTCGCAGTGGAGTTTTTTTTCGGAGGGAGAGCCAATGACATCGAGCGACATAGGGTACAAAATAGCGCACAATCATTTCGTTAAATGATTTAATTAAGCTAAACAGTTGAACAACATTGGTCCAATCCCAAAAACCATTCCACAGCCGTTCGCTTTGATTCGGCACTCGAGGCTTTTCAAGTGTGTGACACATTGGCGTCAAGTTCATAATTCACAATTTATATTACTCCGATTCCGGACAAAAGGCGACCAAGTGGCGCTGATCGGGCGACATTGATTGCGATGATCTGGAGCCGAGAGACTTATGGCCGTAAAAGAACCCGGCTCCACGGCCGATTCAATCATAGATCTTGGACCAATCGATTCTGCAGAACTGGTCTATTCTTCGTGGCTTCCATTGCGGAGTGTTTCCGTTTTGTTTCTCAAGTTTTTTGTTTGTTTTGGTCAAAAGAATAAAAGAGTTTTTTGCCAATTGAATGATTATGCCGAGCCGGGCTTGAATGGCCAGCGAATGAGTCAACAATTGTTGGGGCATGTGTTTTCTAAAGACCTGGGGGATACCCTCTTTCCGTACATCCCTTGACAATGGTTTGATAATTTTCACATTGATATTGAGAGTGTGGAATTATAACTTATAATTTATAAGTGCCAGATTTTTAATGACAAAGAGATTTCACATTGAAAGCGCAATTATTCAGAACGTGATACATATTTGGTACAGCTTTCATGGCTCGTTTGATTACAATAATTCCGCTTATAAATCTATTGTACTACCAAACATTAAAAAAAATGTCTAAAAATTAATTGAATATTATCAAAATAGATAAGAATTTTAATTATTATAAATTTAATTTTAAATACTCTAACAATTTGGAAAATTACTTCTGACAAGCTTAAAATACTTATTCCTGATCACGTGTATTTTCTAAAATAATAAAATTTTCTTAGATATTAATATTAAATATTAAATTCAAAATTGGGCTTAATCTAAGCATGTACGAAAATAATAATTAAGATTTAATAGAAATACTAATAACAATTCAAAACCGCTTCTTTGTTTAAGCTCTCAAATACCAGTGATTATTTTGCCCTGCAGTTATACATCTAATTTGTTTGCATTTCGGTTGGCTCTTCCCCATGACTTTGTATTCCGCAACTAGTTGGACTTGAACTTTGTGCGTGTGTTTTGGTTTTCTCATCGTTTTGTTTTCGACTGCGAGCCGCTTGTTTGTCAAGGCTCTGGCTTGGCCCAGTAACTCATAACGAGTGTGACTACAGTGAAGCCCAAGCGGGTATGTCGCGGCACCCCCATATGGTGCCAGAAATTAAAAATATGTTGACCCCAAGGCGTTTTACTTCGGTTTAGCGAATTGGCAACGCTCGATTGGAGGCCCAGCCAAACAATTTTTTTAATTACCCGAGGTGCGGCCATTTGAACTTGACTTTAATTGGCTCTCGATAAAATAATAACGATGGCAGCACCTGTGGGTTCTCTCCCATATTTTTTGGGTGTCTTTCACTTTGGTCTTTCACTTTTCATTAACGCGACCAATTGATTTCGGGGCGTTTCAATCGTTATGTAAGTCCCGCATGCCACAATTTCCGATGCCAGAGTTGTCTCATGGTAATTGAATATGGATAACCAAAGTGTAACAGGTGCAAAGCCTCGCGGGCTGCATATTAAGCTGTATGAAATGAACAATAACGGGGGAAACTACTTCGCAGGCACTAACAGCAAATGCATAACGACAGCAACGCCCCCACTTTGCAGTTTCATCAGCTTTTATGATGCCATATGCCATCCGCGTGACTCCGACTCCGATTGCGACTCCTCCTCTTCAAACGCACTGGAAATGCTCATAATTTGATAATGGCATCAATTAAACTTGATTGCTGGCCAAATCTCTGTGCTGGCCCCCATTGTTGTTGGCCGTAATTAGCACCCAAGCGAAATGTTTATGCGGCAGTAGTCAAAACTTCTTATTGCCCGGCTGTGCAAACTGTGTCATTAGTTGGGGATGAGTTATGCGAACCGGATTTTTTGTGTTTTTTTTTGTTTTTTTGGCACGTAATGAAGTCATATTTGCTTAGACAAATTAAATGGGAAACTCTTGTGCGCTTCTTATCGATAAACAAGCGCAAGAAGAAGCAGCGCGCAGGCGAATCAAAACAAAAGACTTAGGCAACGAACTTCGGTTTGCGTCGACTTGAATTTATAATTTTACGCGCTGCGGATTTCTAGACAGCATTCCCAGCATTGTTGCTGGGGCCGTCCATCATCATCAGCAGCCTCACGATCTTCATTCGGTCTATACACTTGCAGGGTATATATTTTAAACATGTTTTGAACGCAATAAACAAGGAATTAGGGGCCATATAAAGTCTTGGCACTGTTTTTGTCTACTTAATTTTGTTTATTAGAGTTTAAAGCAGTTTAGTACACTGCCTGCTTGATTTATTCAAATTATTTCTTTGTTTTATAAAGCTGTTATAAATGCATAATGCTTAAAATAACTTAGACTTTAAAGCTTAATTATTGGGCTAAATATAAATATAGTTAATGCTTAAAAACAAAATAAATAACCTTCAAGGGTATTATTATAAGCAGCATTTTACTACTAGAATATTGTTAATTCCATTTCAATGTGATGAAACTGGTGCATTTGCCTCGTGTCACTCTTGGTTGCGCCTAGTGATTTTGCAATTTAATTTCTGCCCGCAAAACGGGTTGGGAAAAAGACTCGGCCAACTCAGACAAGTTCTTGGCGCATGCACTTGCTGCAGCGGTGTTACTTATATAATGCAGATTTTTAATTGCCTGTCACATAAATTCCACAGATCTGCGGGCGTTGTAGAGCCGCAGGTAGTTTGACATTTCGATTGACCTTCAAAAAGCCATTAGAACGAGCAGCGCATCGGCCATAAAAAATAAGTATAAAATCCAGAACCGTTAGGCCTGCCAAAAAATGTCGGCTAAAGAGCTTTTAAGTCCCAAAATGATAAATAAAAATAAATTAATTTGAGCGAACGAGAAATAAAATCACCAAGAGATATACATATGCTGATGATGTAATTAAGGCGTAGAAAGCAGAGAGATGAGATTGATGACCACCAAATCTTGCTGGGAATTTACGAAAAAATGCAGCTACAAAGAGCTGTTTAAGAGAGTCTCAAGAGCGAGAGCCAGAAATATGCTCTGCAAGAAACTCTTTCTGAAAAAGCTTCGCCAAGCTTTGGACACGCTAAATGCTATTAAGCCAACTTAGCCATGAAGCGACAAGGTAAAAAACAGGTAAAAGAAATACCGAAGCAACGTAACCGAACTTACGGTACGAAAAGGTAAGGTAAGGCCGTCGCCAGCCAAGCTCAGCTCAGCCCGAGTCTGCCGCCACGAAAGCCCGGCTCTGCCTTCGATTCTTCAGTCGAGTCGCGAAAGTCGTCGAGTGCGTTTGGTTCGCTGGCTCGTCGGCAGTCCAGCTAAAAGAAAACAAGCAGAAAGTCCAAGCCACTAAAAATATTTAAAAAAGAAAAGAAAACAAACTGAGAAAGAGAAAGAAGCTGCTGAAAGAGGTGAACAAACAAGCAGGGATCACCGAAATCATCATCATCATCACGAAATTTTGTGCGCGCAGTCTTCGCCGTTATGCAATTGAAGTGCGTCCATAAAATGCCGAGATAGCAACAATTTCGATTTAATTAATTTCAGTGGGGAATTAGAAATTTTTCGCGCGAGTTTAAAAGACGCATAAATACCCGTGCCTTCGCCGCCCGTTGTCCAAATTAAATGCCAAATTAAATATTACAATTTATGGCAAACTCGTTTAGCCCAGCCCAGCAACCAAAAGTGAAATTAATAAAGTGAAAAGCAAACGGCAATTGTAGCAAAGGCAATTACAAAATCAATATAAATAATAATAGAAAATCATTGTTGCAGCATTGGAGGAAAATACGTAAAGAAATAACAACAGTTAGGGGCAAACACTTTTCCTCGTCGTCGCTCTGCAAATACGTAATCATTGGGAAAATATCAGCAATTTTGCAACAGTTTCGACACAACAACAACAACAACAACAGCAGCAGCAACACCAGCGACTGCAGCAACAAAAACAAAAAAAAACAAAAGTAATTGAGCAGAAAGGTGAGTTCGGGGAGACCAAGAGACACGCATGCAAAGCAGGGAAAAGGCAAGAAAAAAGCATGGAAAAACCCAGAGAAACCCTAGCCCTAGCACCTGTTGCCTTCCTGGAAATAGGAAAAATATAAGAAAAAGAGCCCAGCTTCCATTCATAATCGCACCTTTTTTTCTCTAACTGTTTTGCCTTTGCGCTGGACTTCCTGCTTACGCGCTTTTTGTTTGTTGTTTGCTACACTTAAGTTTCATTTTCATTTAAATGCGAACAGAAAACACAGCCTTAACTACAAGCCGCTCTCAAGGTTGACAACATCTCTCTTTGTCGCCGTGCTTTTCGGTCTCTTTCTCGGATTGCGTATTCACATTTCAATATTATACAATTTTGGCCAGTTTCGGTTTCGTAAATAGTTCCTTTTTTGCCATCAATTCGAACGATTAGTGCTGAATTAGCAGTACAATGTCAAGTTAATTTGAGTTCAGCAACTCTTCTGGCTCTCAGTTCTCATCTTTTTTAGACTCTTTTTATCTGGTGTATGTAGGTACACTGAGGAAATATCAAGCATTAAAGAACTATTTTTTTAAAGTTACAAATTCATTGTAGGAGAATATAAGTGTACTTGCGTTTAGGTTCTTTTTATATTTCTGTTCTTAACTCGGATTATTTTGGTGTATTTTAATGCTCTATTTATTTAAAATAAACTGGTTCTGAAGCAATATTTTTCCTTCATGAATTAATTTTTTGGTATTTCCAAGTATTTTCTTTTTTTTAATAAATTGAGTTTACTTAACAAATTTATGGCATGAATTGTTTGTGACCTTTTAAATATTCATTATTTTTTCTTTGTCTCTCATAACAATCTCAATTCTGTCTTGAAGCCAATAAATAAGAATTGACAACATTTTTTTGCATTTATAAATATTTTTTTGAGTCCTAAAACAGTCCAGTTTTACTTTTTGAGACTAATTTGGTTAAAAACCGATTTTTCTCAGTTCACACATGGCCCTGAACGAGACAAATGAATGAGTTTCAGACTGCCAACACGCCTTCGGAAACAAATGCATTTAATAACGAAATGAGGCGGCCCGAAAAAAGCTGAAATTAAAATGTGCAGTAGGTGTTGCCATTCCGATTCCGATTGCGATTGCGACAATTGTGTATATAGTTGTATATATATCCGAAAGAAGAGTATGATGAAGAGCTTGAGAGGCAGAGGAAGGAAGTCGATGTCGGCATGAGTCTGCAGTTTCATTGGGCTTCGGTTACAGCCTCGGCTTCAGCATCGAATTCAACTTCTCAACTGCCCATCATCTCTGCAGTGGTTTGTGGGAGTCAATTAGTGGGCAAAATTTAAATACAGCCACAGGGGGGAGGGGGGATAGCATGGCACCCAATTATGCATCCATAAATGTAAACAATCGCTGGAAAGACCCTGTAAAGTGCGGTTCTTCTGCTGAAGGCAGTGCTGAAATCCCCGTCTGGGCAAAAGTTCAGCAGAACCTGCAGACAATTCGAATATAACGCGGCCGAAAGAGCTAATGGGAAATGTCAGTCAGTCGGCAGACAACGTTGACTTCATTTACATTTTGGCAAAACAACAAATGGGTCTGCACTAAGCCCGGACGAAAAAAAGGTCGCGCAATAAATTGGTTTTGTAACTCAACCCCTTTTAGCCGAAAACTATTTTCGACTTGGCCAAATTCCAGGAGAATTTGCATTTGACCGCCTAACCGTTCTTTCACTCTCTTTGTGCTTCTGGCCATTTCTTTTCACGCTGCGCGCATATTTCATTAGCTGTCGATGAGTTTGGGTCTATTTAGGTTTATTGGAAGCCATTCCCCGCCGAATGGGCACCGTTCATTAGCGGAGAAATGGGTTAATCTCATTCAGTGGACTCGCCTACAGTTGCGGTCAAAATAATGGCACTCAGAACTGGAGATATTTTGTTATTTTAACTGGGTTTTTAAGCTTATTGGGTGTTATTTATCAAGTGAAAAGTGGCAAAATAACAATTTAACTGGGTAATAATGGACAGCGTAATTGTTTTGTTTCTTAAGTTCCTATAAATTCTCATAGTAGTAAATAGTTAAAAAGTAATATTATCTACAAATGGTAAACCAGTATATTAGGAAAAATATTTCAACAAATCCATCTCAATTGTATTGTTTTCCTATAGATGGTTTACACCTTTATTAGCTTTTTAAAAATGCCTTTTTTGTGTGCGTGCACTCGTAGATTTGGAAGCTAATTAAACCGCTGATGTGCTGGCGCCATCAAAGTGTAAAAGAGACATTAAGTCTGATAGCGAGGCACGTGTTGTTGGTTGTCGACGATTAGCCCGATATTGAGATACCAGCGGATAGATATATATGGGATGGGATGCTGAGATTATGGCCTTTAACGCCTCGCCGCCAGACAAAGGCATCTTTATTAAAACATTATTTCGTTTGCCATTGTTGGGTCGGCGTATAAATTGCATTTTAAATACAATTTTTATGTTTCTGTTGTGGGCAGCCACCAATAGCTGACTCAATCAGCCGAACAAAGCGCTTCAACACAAATATTATGATCTTTCTGATTGTTACACGCCAACTTCCGCTCCCCGGCTTCACGATCATCATCATTATCATTATGATCCGCAGCTATGCGAGCTAAGAAAGTGAAAACTTGGACGATTTTTTGATTGCAGGCATTTGATAAGCACTAAACGAAGAAAGAAGTGAGAGAAATTTTGTCATCCATTGAGCCAACTAATGATGGTCAACGTAACACAAGTGCACAGGAAAAAATATAATATTATTAGCATGTTTTAATAAGAACTTCTAAATTAATCCAAAAAATACATTAGATTTGAAACAAACAAACATATAAAACTAATTGTAACATATTTTAAAAATATTACTTTAACTTTAAATATTCTCAAACTAAGAGTGTAATGCTGAAAGTATCTTAGGGCAAAAAGTGAAAAAGATGTACTTGAAGTTCGTTTTGTTTTTCGGCGGATTTCCGGTTTGAAATTTGATGTTTCCAAGTACTTTTTCTTGGTGTAAAACTTCTCTACCTCTCTCTGTATATCTTTCTTTCACCGACTGCTAAAAGAAATCAGTTTCAGTTTCGTTTACAGTTTCGGTTTCGGTTTCAAACTCAGTCGGTTGTGGAAAATTTAGTGCAACGGCGCTGTCATAGCTTCGTTTCAAATTGCTTCGTTTACCCGGCTCCCCAGACTATGCCCGTCTCTTTCGGCTGGACGCCAGCCCTCTCTTTCGCTCCTCCTGGGAGCGTTTTGGAGCAGTTGAAGCGTGCAGGCGAAAACGAAAGCAGAAGCAGCAGCCAGTTGCAGTCTTCTTTTTTCTTGCTTTTCATTTGCTGAAATTCGTGTTTTTATTTTGTGTTTCTGCTTTTCACTCTAGTTGAAGTTGTAGCATGTTTTTGCTCTTTTTGGCCAGCAAATTTTTGCACGGACCTCGCTTTTGGTCAGGGCAACTTGGAACGTAACGCAGAAATGCGGAAAAAATTCACTTCAATTTAATGAAAGTGTCAACTCGTTTTTCATGGGGCTTTTCGTTGATCAAAGGCAAAACAAATTTGTGAGATTGGAAATGAGTTTGTTGCAAAAACAGCGGAAAATACAACTTTTTTACTCGGCTTATATTGAGTGTTTTCCAGTTTGGTGACAGCTTTATAGTTATGGTATTTCGTATTATTTATGGAGCTATAAATAATCCAAACCAAACTAATTTGTTATGCTGAAATGTAAACATCAGGAAAATCTAGTTTCCTCCTGATTTTTGGGTTATTTTTTCCTAATTGTGTTAATGTCAATATCAAAGTTTAAATTAGTTTTGGCTTCTAATGATATTTACAAGTCTTATTTTAGTCTTAATGTTTGATGGGAAATAAGTTTGTTTAGAAAACTGGCAATTAATTATTTTAATTTTAGTTTCGAGGTCTTTTTGAACACTTTAAAACACCTACAAAATGGTATTTCGGTACATTTAGTACATTGTTTTTTCCATTTTTCCAGTTACGGTTTTCTGTGTTGACTCGAATCATTTGATTTAATGCCCCAAGAGGTTTTCAAAAGGTGTCAAGCAATTTATAAATTTACATTTTGAAAGTGCTGCACCGGCGCTCGCTGCATTAGCAACGAAAATCAATCAAACAACCAGCTGAGACATTCGAAGATCTTCAAAAATTGAAATGTTAATTTCTGGGGCTTTTCGTCTCCATCCATTCGACTATCCATACATCCATCCGCTAGTTCGTTGGTTTGTCTTTGGGAATTGGGAAACAGCAAAGCGCTGACAGTTACATGACTTTGAAAAGTATCTTATGCGAGTCTCGTGGATGCGCACACAAATATTCATTTATAGCGATATGATTTAACATATTTTGGGGCTTAATAATTGCCGGAATGGTGAACTGAGCTGAGCGCCAGATGTGCGTGATGGAAAATACGAGTGTTTTTGCGAAATCGAAATGCACAACCTGTCGGTATCGGTTGGGTTTTTATATTTTCGTATTTTTTTCATTTTTTACCAGTTGCTACGCTTACTGTTAGTGTTACTGTTACCGTTGATGGGGCCATGATGCGCCGCTGATGCGCTCAGGTGTTAAATGCCTGGCAGCCAGTTCCGCAATACGATTCGATGTTAAATGCTTCGGATTTCGCATTATTAGCTTCCCGATGTGAGCAATTTTGCATAATTTGCACCGCGCACTGCCGCGCATAATGAAAACCTTAACCCCAAACGAGGAACTGAACCATGGCGACTGCGAATGGGATTTGGACTCCGACTACGACTACACGCCACTTTCACGCTATGTAAATTGAAGCATTTGCAGACAATGCAGACCGCAGACAAGTGTTAGGAAAATATGATCCACTCGCCCACACTAATTTTATTATTTAATTTCAAGGGTTCAAGATTTAGTGGGTGCACCATGGTAAAGGGAAAGTCACAGGGACTGAAAATAATGAAGGAAAGTCTGGTATTATCTTAAATAAAATTATTTTTAAAAGGTACCAAAACAGAATTTCCTTAAAACAGATAACAAATAAAAATTTATCTTAGTATTTGGAATTTCAATTTTAACAAACTTAAGAAATATCATTGTTATCTAATATCTAAAAAACAACTTCTACAAACTTACGTATTCATCAACAACTTTTCATTTGGACTAAAAATGTTTTCGTTTACTACCTTAACATTAACACCTCTCAATTAGACCCCTACTAAAATATTATTGCTAGCCCATAAAGCTGATACGTTCCAACAAATCGATAATTTGTCTATCGACCTGCAGACACTTCGAACAAAATTAAACGGATTACCAGAGTGTGTTGAGATCTTCTCAGCACGCCCATTATTTCAACAACACCATCTTTCTCTTCTCTCCTTTCCACAAGTCAATGACTGCTTAATTTAATTTGGCCACAAATCAATGGCCACATGTATCTCTTTCGCCTGCCTGTTTTGTTTTGTCTCGGGAACATTTCGCTTGACCCCTGTGAAAGCAATTTCGTTATGGGCTATTCTGACGTTTCGGCCAATCAATCATGTGGCTCCCCAGCATTCTTGGCTAACATATCTTCTTCCCGGCCGCGAAAGTATCAAATGTTTCTCCGCCATCCCATTTTTCGGCGCTTCATTAGGTCCCGGGAACTTTCATGTGGTCTCTGGTTACATAATGAATCCATTAGGGGTGCCAAAAATACTTTCTAGCCAACTCATCGGGTCTGACCTTAACATTTTGCTGGCCGGCAGAGTTCGCCAGATGAAGTTGCTGAAATTATGCCTCCAAATAGCTGTATGCGATGGACGTTCGGCTGGTTTTCAGCTAAGTAGACACGGCTGATCTTTGCCATCTCGTGACGCACTCGAACAATGCAATCATCTCGACGGGTAAACGAACTGCCAGCTATTTGCACTCCGCAGACGTCTCGTTTACAGTGAAGCACGGCTGCTAACGACCTCTTGACTAGGCACAGCGATAGCCCCACTCCGTCCCAGGTGCAATTGCATTAGAATCATTTACATTCACCGATTCAATTAATATGCAACTAGTGTTGTCAGCGCGATTGTCATCATCAAAATTCTTTATTGATTGCCTAGCGTCGTGCCTCGTCGCTCTTTCCACTACAATAAAACTACAATAATTCATGACGTTGACTTTCATTCATAAAGTGCGCGATTGTCGGTAGTCGTCTGGTATTTGAATATGCAGCGAATGTTGTCATTAAATTATGCATAGTTTCAGTCGAACGAGACGTCTCAGGAGGAAAGTTCTGTAGAAAGTTGGTGGAGAAACGAGTTTTCCGCCTGTCAATCATAAACATTGAAGCGTTTCGTTTATGTATGCAATGTATTTAAATTCCCACATAAAACATTTTGTATACCATCACCATTTCTGTTAAAATTTCTACTCCAAAAAATAAGATTATATGGCGGCAAAGTAATTGAAGTCTCATAATACCTTACAAAAATGTATAGGCACTACTTAAAATTGTTAAATTATCTCGCCGAACCCCTAAAACATTCTTATCAATTTGAAATATACCTATTTTTAACCCACATGAGAAATACATCTTATGTATACCCACCATCTATGAGAAACAACGACCTAAAGTATATGGCGTCATCTTTTAGAATAATACCGTGTGGGCAGCGTCAATGTCAGCTGTTGGAAAAAAAAACTCAATAAAGAAGCCACCTTTATTGTGGGAATTTAAAATACTAATAGAGCCGAGAAATGACAGCAGCATAATGAACAAACTGTTTAATAAGTAAACAAACCTATTTGTAATTTTCAACACATTTTTCCAAATCAATATTTGCTGTAAAATTATTGTGTATTTTGCTTTCCATTTCAATTCGCCGGCCAGAGTTATTGAACCCATCGGAAATGTGCGGAAAATGTCTGCTTATAATTTAATATCATTTCGTTGGACAATTGTGAAAGTTCAACGAATTTGAAATTTAAAGCCGAGTTCGATTGGTGCGGCTTGAACTTGAATGATGATACGCCAGATTGCAGTGAATTAAGAAATAATCTTCAATTGGCATTATTTAAATGATTTCAAATAGCTGTGTTTTTTGTGAGCCTTAGCGAGTGTTTTTTTCTTTTGTGAAAGTTGCTGAACATTTTTGCGTGTGCTAAGGAAAAATTTGTTATTTTCGAGCGAAAAGTGAATGCTGATGGCTGAAAAATTGCCAGCCAAATGGACGCACACATTTTCCCAATTCCTGAGCCTCGAGATTTGTAACTGTAAAAGATCAGGGAAATTATCATGCAGCCAAATCAGCAAAGTCAACACGCACACCGAGTCGGGAGATAAAAAAAAATATAAAGATAAAATCCAAGGCTCTGATGACTTTATTTTATGGCATCAAGTGGCATCCACAGTTGTTCTGTTTACAAAAGTCCAGTAACGAAAACAGGCTATCCGCTGGGAGGCTGTGAGTGTGCAGGATACTCGAGCACCTCTTGGCCACCACTTGTATCCACTCGACTCCACTTCGCCAGCTGCAGCCTGTGGGCCGTTAATTGTCCGTCATATCGTACAAAGAAAAAGAAACTTTCTTGATATGTCAGCGTTATTTGGCCAGAATTGTTCCGAGAACACAGGCAGATGCCGTTTAAGTGTTTTAATTTGACGTGCCCCATAAAGAATGCGGTGAAATTAAAGTTGCCTTTGCCGTTTTTTTTTTTTGATAATTGGATAAAAGCATATTTGTGTAATGGTGGAGATTTCCGTATAAAAAATAAATTAAAGGGTTTTGAATATTAAATATGAAAATATTGTGTAATTATTTCGAATTATTTTTTAGAATTATACAGATGCTTAATAAATTATTTTGTTCACTCAAGATCATTTGTCCATATTCCTACCTTCAACATTTTGTCTTTCATCCTCTGCTTTGTCCCCCAGTAAGTAGCACCAAACCCGAATCGTAGACAAGCATATCCGTGTGGATCATCCCGTAAATCTCCTCGCCCATAAATGACACTCAGAATGCAATTCACGTAATTACTCGAGTCGAGAGTCAAACTAGAACACGTCTGTTTTGTACGTGCTGAGCCTGAGGAACTTTTGTCCGATCTATATGGTACATATGTTCTATATACTCGTACAGCGATTTTTGTTTTCTGGGCTCGTTTTTGTGTCACAGACATTGGCCCTTTGTTGGCCATAAATAACAATACATGTGTGTGCACAAAAGAAAATGCAACTCAATAAAGCGGCAACGAATGGCACTGAGACACCAAGAGACTTGTACAATTTAACGGCTTTTGTTGCATAAATCGAGCTGCAACAGCGGCAACATTTGTTATGCGATTGCGATCTATAGCTGGCGAAAAAATGGCGTCGATCGTTGACAATATGGTCGGAACAGTAAAGATTGTGCAAAGGGGATGAATATTTATGGCCAGCCCTTGCAGCATCCAAAATGTCGGGTCGGCCAAAGCCGTCGATCACTCAATCGCACAGTTTCTGCAAAAAGAAAGCCAACAAAAACACACACATCACAATTATAGACACTAATAACAAAGACAGCTAAATATATGACAACAGGTTAGCGAACCTCGCACATTTGCATGACTCCCGAAAGAGCGATAGAGATGGGGAGTGCGATGAAGAAAGGGACGGGAGAGTGTGAGGGAGAGGGCACTTTCTTGCCGCTACACGCTTCGGAACCCCGAAGCCCCAAGCCCCCATAGATGTTTATTATGCAATGAACGTTTTTTCATCGACTTGACAATCTGAGCCGTGAAAAAACAAAAGACTTCAATCGAAATACTCTAACAGCTGGGGGTAAATAAGTTGCAGACCTGAGAATCATATGGAAACAATCAAATTGTTTTTTAATTATGTTTGGCTTTTTGTATAGTTATTATCAATATTTTTCTGCTTCATTTGAATATGCTTTGACTTTTATTTAAATTGGTTTGAGCAGTTTATATAGCACTCAATTCCAACAGGGTATTCCCAATTTCACCATTAAGTGCTTATTTTTCTTTTCAGCTTACAGGTGATTTCTTTTTTATTTACTTTTATTGTGGCTGTTGTCAACGTGCCTTGGATGGTATCTCACCCGCACTGTCTGATTCACAGCCCGAATCGCAGTTGGGATCTCAATTCCGAATCTGCGATGCGTAGCTCGCACAACATGATCGTCATAACAAGCTATTTCAATAAAAATTGCTTGTTTTACACATAAATTCTTGGGTTCGAAAGAAACATTAATTTCGGCACATAGAAACCGAGAGCAGAAAAACGGAAAAATACAGGAAGGCAAATTGCATTGGTATTACGGGTATTTTTGAGGCCTTTGGGGCTCTCTGCATGCGGGATGACTTGTAAAAAGGGAGTCCAGGTCATAAACAATATGTATATCCCAGTCCCAGGTGCGTTGAACTCCACCAGAGGGATGCCTTGATTCTGTTTGCTTACCGATTCGAAGAGAGTCAAACATTTTTTTGTTTTTTTTTTTGTGGGGCCTGTCAGCGCAAAATGAGGAAATTTGATGTGTTTGCTGTTTTTATGTACCGTTATGCGGCGGCCTTCCTTATGATCTCCCTGCCCATATTATGTATTTGGTTTATAACTCGAATATTCACACAACCCTTTACGACCTGATCTCACTCTTTGCAGAGGACAGAGACCCCAGAAATCACACAAGATGGTGTCGCGTCGAAAAATTCTATCACGTTCACGCGACGATCTTAATCTTGACCAGACATTTACCCAACAGGAGGAGGAGGAGGATATCTGGTACCAGAAGGATAAACTATACAAGGTAAGTCTTCGTTTTATTTAATGATAACTATGTAAATACGGGTATTTATATTTTTATTTTTGATAGCTATTACAATTATGAGACAACATAATTAAAGTAACATTATTAAAAGCACCTACACCAAAAAAATTTAACCCTAATTTAAAAACGCCCAAATATTTCTTTTCTAAATACAAGAAAGTTATTCAAACAAGGAAATTTTCTAAGTCAAGAAAGTTTTCCAAATCTAGGAAGTTTTTATTAAATGTAAAAATGGTTACCATGAACTAAAATCACCCTAAAATCTAAAAAAGCCCTAAAATAGAAATTATTTCAAAAAAAAAGCAAACAAAAAACAAAATGTTTGGCAACACCTTTCTAAAAATTAGTGCCCTAACCCTAAAATGAAACCAACCCTAAATAATAGAAACATTTTCTAAAAAGTAGAAATTTTTCTAAAAAAAAATATTTGTTTCACATGCTCTGGCACACCAAAATGTTCAATGCCAGAACTGTCAGCTCCGGCCGGCTGTACCCGTGGCGCAGACGGTTAAAGCACTGGTTAACAATTGAATCGACGCGGGTTCTAGTCCCAGAGCAAAATTTTTAACCTTTTTTTATTCTTTTTTTTAATGTTATTTTATTTTTCTTTTTATTTATTTTTTTACTTTTTTTATTCCTTTTTTATTGATGGCAAGCGGTAAACTAAAATAATAGGTTTATATTCAGCTATTTACTATAAACTACACATAATATAAATTGCGTTAGCATAAATATATACATATGTATATACGTATGTAAATAAGAAAACGCGAATGGTCAAAATTATGCAATTAGTATTCAAATGTGTTGTCCGCTCACCCTTACATACAATGCTCGGTTTGCCACAACTTATTTATGTGCTACAATGGCCCAGTATGTAGGCCGTTCTCTCCTCGCGCGGGAGACCCGGGTTCGATTCTCACGACGGACAAGTAAAAATTGTAAGTTTTTTCATGAAGATAAAATATTAACTAATCATAATTTATACATTCCCCCATTCCCCCGCAGTCCCGTAGTCCACATTACAACCACATTTGGCTTGGTTACATAAGAAATCCAAGTGCAAATACATAATAATAAATACATAACCTTTAAGATTCACAATATACAAGACACACAACGCTTGCATATGTACATAGGAGGAGTACATAATAAAACGATGTATATACAAAAAAATCATGATTGAACATGTTTTTGTTTTGTTTTTAATTTCTATTTTTAGGAAAATTTCCTACTTTTAGAAATTTTGCCCTTAAATTTAGTAAAATTACCCTAAAATTTAGAAATATGACGTCAAAAAAATCAAAAATATAAAAAAGACCCAAAATTTAGGGCTAGCTTGTCTTGAAGACAAAAATAGGGCGATTTCCTGACTTAGGGTTAATTTTATTTTGAGTGTACATTTATTAATTAGACAAACTTTGAATTGAATAATAATTCCAAAACTTGAGATTTAGTTTGGTCCTTGCTTTAAAATTTAATTTAAAGTTTAACACCTAATATAATCCTTTCAATATTACACAAGAAAATATCATAGATATGCGAGTTTTGATCTCAGCTTTAAGATCTAACAAAAACCATTGGATCTTTATACAGCCTATAATTTGGCAAATTACCTAAAAGAGTTTTCCGCGACACCTCCAAAAAAACTTCCAAAATTGAGGAGTACCGTGTAGAACTGGCCCTGGCCCATCGACCATCGTCGAGTGACTTCCGCTTGAGTTGGACAGTCGGCTTCTATGATTTGTGGCTATTTTCCTGTCGCTCATTCTCAACACGTGCGCTAAACGCGGAGTCGGGTCCACCGCATTGAGGTCACCATGAGACGCACTAACGCCGAGTCTTTGAGTTTCTGTTTTTCCGTTTTATTTCATTGTTTTTGGCATAGGTTTCTGGTGTTTGTTGTATTGACCAATTGCATTAATTACCGTTAGGCCATCGCATTGCGTTGTGCATTTTTAATTTGCCTACGGGCCAAGGCAGTAAGGCAGTCGAGTCTGGCCAAAAGCGTACGGCGAATGGCCAGCGGCATTAAGCAGCAGCAGCAGCGGCAACTGCGGCCATAAAAACGCCATTGGTAACCCTAATGTTTGGACAAGCCCAGCACGAGCTCAACGATCGGTTTTCATTCGCCCATCTTCGATTACGATATTATTTTTTGGGGCCGTTTCTCTTTGTAATGAACTATACCTGTATGCGCGTTGTTTATGTGTGGGAATTCCATTGACGAAGCTGCTAACTGCTAACCCTTTTGGCTTTTTATCAAGGAGTGTTAGTGACTTTATCCAATGGGCGTGTGGGGGCTTTTTATGGCTGTACGGACCTATATAATGCAAGTCAGCTGCGTTTGAGCTCTCTAAACTGTGGTTTTAGTGTAACCTTTGAACTCTTTGAAGCGTTTAGTTTTTTTGGGAACGGTTAGGTAATTGTTTTCCAAGCCAAAAGCAGTCAAAGTACTGCAGAAAATGATTAGGACTCTTCGGAAAAATCTAAAAAAGACTGCAAGAAAACAAAATAAAAATAAATATATAAGAATAATTAAATATCCTTTAAATACAAATTTGATTCATTATTATCCTTCAGTCATTTTTATTAAAAATTTCTTAATTATTTACTATTTATAAAACATACCTACTAGTTTTAGTTGGTATCTTAACTAAATTAATTATTTTAGTGTTCAGTTTGTGGAAACATTCTAAAATTTCCTATGGACCTATGACTATTTCTAGCTAAATTTGTTGGCCGTTATCTCGCTGTTGGCGTACCTCCATTGACTTTTTCAGTTCACTTTTGGCAGGCGGTACTGCCCACACACACAACTGGGTTAACTGCAATTCATTCAGCACAAACGCGCAGCAGCAACACTCAAAAGAAAAAGAAAAAGCCATCAAAACGCTGGCCATTAAATTGATGTTTTATTTCTAATGGAGATTTGCATAAATTTCGTTTACATCAGCGATTCAGCGACTGAAAGACGCAAAGATTCGGGGAAGCAAAGGCCTCACCCAAAGTGAAAAGCGTGCAGCAGTCGCCGGATTTCAGCGTTTCTGTATTTGTCTTTTTCCGTCTATGGGTATGTTGCAATTAGCGTGAGCGTGGCATCTATATAATTCCGTTTAGTCTGGCCCCACACAAAGGCGTTCACAAAAACTGTATTTCCCATGATGGAAACGGCCGCAAATGATGTCTGAATTTTCCTTTTGTCGTCGAGGGTTGTTAGTCTGTTAGCCCTTTTGATTTCGACTTGTCTGGCTGCTCGGGGCGCTTATTGAGCAATTTCGGTTGCTCTGGCTGCCGCTGTGCTATTTTCAATATTGTTTACAAATTTATTATCTGGGAACGGAGCAGCAGAAATTGACTTGAAAACAAAAGACTTAGGCAACGAACTTGCATGCATCGAACCAGAATTCTAGCGTAAGAAAAAGAAAACAACAAAGAAATAGAAAAACCCACACTGACACAGACATAAACGACAACGACAACGACTTTTCGCAGTCGTTTTTCGTGAAAATGAAAGTTTTTCTCGTTGCTCTGCAAAAGTTTTCGCTTTTTTCCACTTCCATGCGCAGGCTTTTCAATGGATTTTTTTTCTTTTTCTCTAGCATTTTCCTTTGTTTTCCTTTTCCTTGGGATTTGTTGTCTTGCGGCGGCTGTTTTGGCACCCGTTCACCTGGTTTCGGTCTCGCTTTTGGCCTGGCCCGAGCAACAGGATTTGGCGTTGGCGCAAAATAACCAAAATAAGCTAAATAAGCAGGAAAAACCACTAAAACGAGACAGACACAAACACACACATCATGTGGGCTGGCTTTTAAGCCCAAAAATTATACGACAAATTCAGTGGAAACTTTTGTGGCTGCCACTTCATCAACGTCCCAGGATCAATTGAGTTTCCTGCTCGTTGCTTGATTGATTTACCTGATGGCGGAAGAGCTGCATACTTATCTACACACAAAAAAATACGCCCGGATCAAATCGATATGCGCATGGTAAATTTCTTATTAATTAATATTATTTTGCCTAGTTCTCTCTCTCAGAGATTCTTTGACTTGGAAAAAGAGAGTAAGAAGCAATATGAAGACTCTCTCAATTGGAAATATAGCGTGATATCGCTTAAAGTTAAAAGATTTCGAGCATATCAAATAGAGATGCCCCTATTCTAGTCAAAAGTGATACCACATACATAATATCAAAAGAAACATCGTTTCATATCAAGATTTTTTGGGTGTATCTATACAGTCTGATTTTTAAGCTAAGCCCACTTGACATTAGAATAACAAATTGAAAATGAACATATCAATGAACTTTGGGCACCCGAGCTGCTGCAACCTGTCACAAAATGAATTTATCAAGACCGTAATAATTTGCGGCGATTGTATCTATTGACCTGGCAGACACAAAGAGATTCGCCGACGCCGCCGCCGGATCCCAAATAAAAATCATTTTATTAAATGTCAACTCTGAGCGTTGCGAGCATCTGTTGCTCGGTTTTCTTTGAAAGTCGTGACTGCAAAAGTTCAACAGCATTTTACACGAAAAAGTGCAGCCAGGCACAGGCACAGGCACCAGAGATTCTCCGACGTCTCATCTTCAGTGGTGCACGTGTTGCAAGCTTAGCTTAGTCTAAACCATTGCGGCTCCATTACGGATCTTGCAACAGAATAATGGACTTTAATTGCGCCCACAAAAATGCGGTTTTCTGTCGCCTGACGTCACTCCCGGAGTCTGGCCGAAAAAATTCGTATATTTCATCTTTCTGATTTAATGTTGTTCGTATGCTAATCGAAACTTGTTCCGTTCGGAAACTCGTTCGAATTAATTTCATGCACAAATCAGATTACGTATACGCCGGGGAGAACACGCGCTTGTGGTGTGGCACTTCTGCTGCAGCGGCTCCTCTGCGGCAAGTTGCAACTGGGGGACTAATTAAAAGTCAGCCACCAAAAAACCACTCGGTGAACTTCGGCATTTTGAGGTCGTTGCTGCTCTGCACGGCCTAGAAATATGAGAAACAACTACAGGTTGTAACCACTAGCCAGTAACCAGTTTGTCGACACCCGAGCATCTTGAGCCTACAAGATTCTTCTGCTTTTGCTCGAAACCTGAAGTGAATCTGCCCAAAGAATCCAACGGAATGAAATCAAAAGTGCTTCCAACTCCCAGACTCTCGATCTCACAGGCCGAGTGCGCAAACGCAAGGCATCTGAAAAGGTTAACAAGTTTTACTACATGATTTATTTGCATTTTTAATGTGTGTGCCCGCTGAATGAGCCGAGTAAGCTTGCCTAGACGAGTTTTGGCCAAAATGCTCTTCCGTCCGCCCGTCCGTAGAATTGTGGTTGAAAGCCAAGCCAACATTTGATGTTTGCTGGCTGCTCATATTTTTCATATTTTACTTTTTTTATTAGAGCCCAAAAAAGTGGCTCGAATTGTGGGCATGTTGGTTACTGGGCTAATGGCTTTGTTTATGACGTTCTTTGTTCGGGTTAATTGAGTAAGCCAGGTACGGAGGAAAAACGACCAGCTGTTGATTTTTTGGGTTTTCTCTGATGGTGCATACATATGAAAATTAAATGGGTTAAAGTAATAAATAGAAACCATGACAAAAAGACCACATCTAGAGTTTCATAGCTCGTTGATTGTTTAAGGCAAAAAAAAAAGGCCGCGGTCAAATCGATATGCGCATAGTGAATTTCTGGTATATCGAATATAATTTTTACCGAAATCTCTCTCTCGGAGACTCTCTGACTTCAATAAAGAGAGGGTGAAACAATGTGGTGACGTAAATTACATTAGTGGAGGAAGAAAGACATATTCGAATTGCGGTGCCAGGATATCAAGTTATAATTGATACATTTTTTTTGTGTATACTATTTTATAATGTTTTCTTGGAAAATACAATTACATTTTATGTAATTAAAGCGCTATATGATGTGATCTACATTTTCTGCATTCAAAGCTGCCTGCATACAACTTTTTATTGAAACGCTGATCCAGTAATCGATTAATAGCCCTGGAATTCAGCTACAGACATCGTATATGCTTTATACTAGTCCACTCTATGTGCAAGCCGGTTTATATAAGGCAGAAATGTAAAATATTTTCAGAGTGCACTTAGGCATGACGCAAGCCGAGAGCAGAGCAGTGCAAACCTCGCAGACAAAGCTGCAATCAAAAGCCTTGCAGCACTTCAAATATCTATGCATATAAGTATATTGTTAGATATAAAAAAGACTTCAAGCAGAGCAACACAAATGCTCAGGCTGCAGCAGCAATGGCAACAGCAAAGGCAACGATATCGTTGTCTATAATTTTATATGTCTCACTGCACCACGAACCGAGCCGAAAACCCCTGAAAACCCCTTTCGAACCCCCTACAAACCCCCCTGAAAACACGGGCCTGGTCTTTTCTCGTCTGGCTGTGTTCGTGTCAGCATTTGCTCCGATTTGATTTTAACTTTTATTTAACAAACTGCAAAACAACACAAACGCAAACACAGACTGACGCTTGTAATGGCAGCCAGGCAACAAAAAGGCAACACAAATAAGTAAAAGTAAAATAAGTGAAAAAAAACTTAAAACGCAAGCGCCCAACAAGGCCGTTCACTTTGGCACAAACACTCAAACGCGATGGAAAGTGAAAATTGCTAGCATTAGCTGCAGTCACTATGTTTTTCTTTCGTTTTTTTTCAGATGCCCCGAAACAAGTTCCGAATCTTTTAGGATCAAATCGATTGATTTTCGGGAATTTTTAATTTTTTGTTTCGGCTTGCAATTTAATGGGTTTTGAAAGGATCGTTAAATTTGTTGGCCAACTGAAATGATATGATCAGGGTTCCTTATAACTCCAATTAAAACTATACCCAATGAATAAGTGCTGTAATTTCGTACGGCTATTAAAATGTAGTATTATTTGACAATTTTAAGACTTTTTGCAACCTTTTGGTTTTTGTTTGGGCTTAGTAGGCTACCAATACAACTTTTTTCATAGTTCGAAACAGTTATAAAAACTTGTATTTTCGATTGGCAACTATTGTTCAATTATTTTATGTGTAAATATCTAATTAATCTTACAAACTTAATCTTCAAAAAAACTTTAGAAGTGACGAAATGTATAACTACAACTACAACAATTTTAAAAATATTTAAGTTAAACTAAGTTTAAGTAAAGTAGGTTTGGGTACATTAAAATAATTAAATCAAAGTTGCAAAAATAATGTAATAACATACCTAATAATATATTTAACATAGTTGTTCAGAAAAATTATCTTTCTCTAATAATAACATAATCCCTTTTATTACCCTTCAGGAACACATTCAGGAAGTGCTGGACAAATGGACCCAAATCGACGACGAGATCTGGGCCAAAGTGATCGTCTTCGAGCGGAATCGTCGCGTGGCCAAGGCGTACGCACGCGCTCCGGTGCTGACCATTAATGGATCCGACGATGGCTTCGACGGCATGCGGTGAGTAGCAGTTTGCACAGTCCTCCATCATCCCTTCACCCTCCATAATTATCGGTCATTGCAAAGCGAAGGCGAGTAAGCAAACAGAGGGACCGAGGCAAAAAGCCCAGCAAAACACATTAAACATGGGCAAACAATGCCTTTGAACTTTGCTAAAACAAAACAAAATGAGACACAAAAAACATAAATATTAATGTCAGTTGGGGCTCGAGCACTAGCAAAATAAAATGCCCTTGACCCACTGGCAAAGAAAATACCCAGCAGGAGCTGCTCTTCGTTGTCTTTCTTTCTTGCGAATTGAAAACTCAAAGGGGTAACATCATTTTGATGGACAGTTTGCCGCAAACATGTGGTGCTATTTGAGATGTAAGTGGTCATAAATATTTTACAAATAGTAAATAATATTTTGTTTAACAACACAGCAGGTACCTATTAGTTTTAACTACCACAAAAATTTTTTTTTTATTTTCCGATTTAAAATTTTGTATCTTGGTTTCGACCACATGTTGTGTTTTTAAAGACAAGAAATGTATTGTAATATTACAATAAACTTTTCTTAATATGGCTAAGTAATAAAAAATTCTGCTTTTTAATTACCACAACTTTTTAAATATTTTTAAATTTTCCAATTTTAAATTATTTATTTTCTGTTTTGACCACATGTTGCGTCTTTAAAGACAATACCAGCAGGAAAAGTTTATATTAAGCTTTACTAAATATGGACTTTTATTTTCCAATTTAAAATTTTATTCTCCTTTAGTCGATATGATGTGCAAATTTAGATTCAAGTGGTTATAAATATTTTACAAATGGTAAATAATATTCGGTTTACCAACACAGCAGGTACCTATAAAGTGTAACTTTCACAAAACACTTCAATATTTTTTTTAATTTGCAAATTTACATTTTGTAGTATTTTTTTGGCCACGTATTGTGTCTTTACAGACAAAAAACGCAATAAAAATTTATATTGAACTTTCATAAATATTGCTAAGAGATAGCGAAATCATAAGAAGTAAAACATATTTATTATATTATAATCATTCAATTCCAAGTTGATCTTTCAATAGATTTCCAACTCTCCAATTTTTTCAAAACGTGTCCGTAATTCCCATGACAAGTGTATCGCCAACTTCGATGCGAATGGCTGTAACCTTCATCTGGCCGTCTTGGTTTTTTGCTGTAATAATAAATGGCTGCTGATGTGCTCTCGAATGGGCAATGAATGAAACGCCCATCAAATTGATGGGCATGCCATTAAAATTTAATTCCCCCGATGAACTTCACTACGCAAGAGTTGTAAGTGGAGGAGAACCTTCGAGCAGGGGCATTGCAAAATGCTGACCTTAGTGGAAACAATTTGTAGCATGTGAAAAGCTGCGGGCTGAACCAAAACAGAAAAAAAAGAACCGAAAAGCGAGTGAAAATGCTTTAATAATTGCGCTTATTTCTATGAAATGAGCGATTTCCGTTTTGCCAAAGCAATTTGAGTCAAGAATTCGGCTTGTCTTATTTCATTCTCTTATTTTTTTTTGGAGGTCTCTCAAGTGGTTCTTGGAATTGTTTGGGTGGCTGCAATTGCAGCGAGGCCCTAATTAACATATTCCGCCTCAAAAATATTGCTGTTGCGTGCCAGAAATTGCCAAATGCCAAGTGCCTTACGCTCAATTGCTGTGGCAATTTGCTGGAGCCGAAATGTCAAGAAGTTTTCAGGCCGAGCATAAAAAGCGAATTCAATGGATCTATGCATAATGCATTAGTGCATAAGTACATGGGCATGGATGTGCCGATTATTCAGTTCAAATATTGAAATCTTCGGCCGCCAGGAGATGGCCAAAAAAGGGCATCAAGTGCAGGAGATCGTGTGGCTGAGGCGGCATCGGCGGCATCCTTTGTAAGTGGCCACAAATAAAGGTGCTGCCAGCCAGCCGGCCAAATGTCAACAGCGAAAATACAAATAAATTGCCAGCGGGCCGAAGACAATGAAGATCGAGAGGAAAACAAATGAAATTGAAAATAATAACGAAAGTCATTCATTCAATTCGTTTTCATTCGTGACGAGGTCATCACAGATTGGCCATGCAAATTGCTCTTGTCATGGCAAGTCTTTCACTGCAATTTAACCCTCTTTTTCCCCGTTTCCCCGAAGATTGCTGGTTTTTTCGACTACTTGTTTATGTCAACTGGGGGTTAAATACAGCATCGGGAAGAGGGAAAAGCTGAAAAACTGAAAACTAACTTTGCATGCCGAGAGTGTCAAGTTAATCAATTGCCAATTGCCGCCGACTTCAAACATGCACACCACGGAAAAGATAATTTATGGCCATGTTGGCCCTTGTTTATGAGTCTGAGTGTGGTCCAAAGACCCTTGTACTTGTCACTGCCATTGTCTTTTTGTCTCTCTGCTGCCTGTCTTTTTTTGGACTTTTGTTTTTGTTTCATCGCCGTCTAGGGCCAGCAGCTTGTTTGTTTAATTAGCCGCTGTCAGCGCTTGTTAGCCGCTGCTATCTTTCGGGTTAACCGAATTGCATTTGAATGTGCCAGCCCAGAGACATCAGCGCATACGTGCATACTGAATGCCATTTCACACGCAACGCTTTTCATTGGAAATCTGGCCAGTATGCAAATATATGGAGCCACAGCAGCGATGTGAACTATGATAGGTGTTATGTGCATAAAGTATGTGCGGCTGTAGCAATAACTATCAATTTGGTGGAACCCCTGCACATTGCCATAAAAGTTTGTTGATCACATTTAATTCTTGAGCATCCATTCAATTTTTATTATTTTTTATGATTTTTTGTGTAATTATTAATCACTCTAAATTGAACTTTTTGTATTTTTATTATTAACCTTTTATTGTTTATGCTTATCCATTCATGCAAATTCATTACCAACGCATAAAAATCAGGGAAAACTTAACGAGTCTATTTGCATGAATGATCTTCTATTTTTATAACCTAAATCTATTCCCAGTCAGAGCATTTAAGCATCGGTTTAAATGAGTGTGCTAACTACCATTTTTGTGCGCTCCATGCATAGACAAATTTCCATTTGTGGAGTCTCCCGCCAGCTGCTGCTGCACTCAGGGAAAAAATTGTTCTGATTGTGTCTGAAAACGTGTCTGTTTGAGTCTCAAAAATAGCTTTATACCGTTTGGTATCATTATAAGAAAATATGGTATTATTTTAAGAACGGATTTTTAAGACCGCTGTTCTTACTTTAAGAACGAAACGTACTTAAATTTATATTTATTTTTAGTAAAAAAAATATATTTCTTTGAATGCTCCTGTAAGCATTCTGCCATGGAAGGAAAAAATAAGGCCATGGCCCAGGGGCCAAGGTTGGATTCTGGTATTATTTTGTGCTTGGGGGTTCAAATTCCCGCTCACAACACAACTTATTTTTTTTTGTTTTGTAATTAGTAAATTAACAATTTAACTTTTTTAATACATTTTTGTTCTTAAAGTTATAAAGGAAATGTTAATTGAAATACATTTGAAAAACTTTTTACTTACTTTGACTTATTCGGTTTTTGAACCGGGGTCCTCTCGCATCAAAGGCAGACGCCTTACCAACTGGGCCATCGCACCGTGTTTCGCGCGCGTGCATAAGTTCAACTTAAATCTAAATTTACTGGTCTTAAATCAATACCCTTTGGTATCAATATAAGAATATGGTCTTAAAAAAATAAAAGAACAAAACGGTAGTAATGTAAGAAATTCGGTCTTAGATTTTTTCGGTCTTTTTTTTCTGGGTGTGCATGTAAATTAATTAATTAGACTGACGCTGATGTTGCTGGCGTGAATGTTGCTAGTTGCTGGTTGCTAGTTGGGTGTGGGCGCAACACTCAAAAGCAGGACCGCACGCACACCCAAGTGCGATCAATGATCTGGGTTTCAACAAGCGCGTTTAATTAATGGCCAATCCTTAAGCACTTATTGTGGTCCGGCAATTACAATAACCCCCCTTCTACTTTCAAAACTCAATTAAAATGGCGCCAATATAAATTTCGCTGTTTATGACAGTTTCTGGCGAGCTTTTTTGCGAAACAATTCGTTGCGTGGGCGTTGCCAATCGAATTTGCATGTGGCTGGGAACAAATGAAATGGAAATCAAATCATAATATCAAGCTGTGCTCCGATTGCAACACACAGTATGGGTATATGGGTATGGACGGTGTGTTTTTAGCATGTTTCGTGCGGAAAAAACTAAGGCAAGGGGCGCGCCAAGGTTGAGATTTGCGAGAGTTGGCCAGACAAAAGACATATTCAGCCGTACTTTTTTTGTTTTTCAGCTATTGCTGAGTAACCGCAGTAGTTGCAAAAGCAACACTGTCATTGTTGCTGCCACTGCAGCACACGTGCCACATTTGTCAGGGCAAGAACAATAGTTGCGACGGCCTTCGGGCCGCAATTTAAGGTGCGACCCTAAAACTGGAGCGGGAAATGCTTTGGCCGAACAAATGCTGCCTATAATTAGCCATAATCTAATTAAAGGCAAATCAAGCCAAACTAGTTCGCCGATCAGGGTTCGTTTCCTAAGTCTTTCGTTTGGCGACTTTTACTAAAGCACATAAACCGAATACATACATGGCCAGTTACCATACCTACATATAACATATAAAATATATATATGTAGTATAGTATAACGTTGTCTCTGCTATGGTATTTTTAACTGAACCGGTTGGACATTGTTTTTGCCCACTGGCCGCAGGTCAAAAGTTGCTCCCAACCACCGTTCGAAACCAGTTGCCGTTAACTGCAACTTTTTTACGGTTGCAACGCTGATGATGGTGCTGCTGATGGTCTGGTCTGGTCTGCTGGAGTGGTGGTGGCTTCCTCGAAGAAGCCCCATGCCCGGTTCGTCCTCGCAAGTGCAGCCTGACCCACTGCACACGTTTAACTTGAACTCCAAAATCGCAGCCGTTTCCAGTTTTGCAGAGCGAGTTGGTCCGGTCGATGGATCGACTCTCGCTTTCAGCTGGGCCTTTCGTATTTCCAGCTCATTTAGGCGTGTCAAGTCGAGTCCAGTCCTGAGACCAGACGACCTTGCAACCAATGTACGAATTCACTATATAGATATCATACATAAGTGCGATAATGCCTGGGCCACAGAGAAGTGAATGTCCACAAGACATGCTCCGAATAAGTATATATTAAACTGTCAGTGGGTTGGGCTGCTGGTTCTTGATTTAAGCTTAATAGCGCAACACCATAGAACACCACAGTTTGATATCCAGAAACTTATTCAAAAACCATAATACACATTTAATGTTTTAATAAAAAATAATTCTTAATTAATTAATTGTTTGATTTTTAAACTTTAAAAAATACTTGAATTTGCCCTATTGTATTGTTACAATATTAAAAATTATTAAAATATTATTGCACCCAAAAAATCTTTATATGAAACGATGATCAATTTGATATTATGTGTCAATTCTGACTTGATATGCGTATAAATACCATAAATGTACCATGCCCATATCAATTTGTGTACGATTTGAACACTTCAGTACTAAAGTCTTAGAAAATATTTAGTTGCTCTGGCGTATATAAAGAACATTTAGCCAAGTCAACCTGTACTTCTTACACCCATCTGCTCTCAGCTGTTGGCATTCAGGTTTAATAACATTTCGCTTTTGATGGCTCGAATTTAACGAAGCATTTACCGAACAAAGAACTGCAAATCCGCTTTCGGCAGCCAGCGTTCAACCTTGGGGGGCACACATCGCATCGGCACTTTGGAACATGGTGCTCGGGCACCACAGCCCGTCCATGTCGATTTCATTTCATGGAAAACTTTGACACACATTTCAACGGTTTTTACAAGCGTTTAGCCAATAAATCAGCGCCGAGCGGCAGACGTTACGCGAAGAACTGAAGCACATGGCCAAATGCCAAAGCGATGCTAACGGCGATTGTTGCTGGTTGCTAGTTGCAAGTTGCTACTAGCTGCTGTTGTTCTTGTTCTAGCTGCTGTTGCGCTTTGCTGCACTGGCAGAGCTTCATTATACAAATTAACATAAAACATAATAGTGACACGGCGGCGTCAGGTGAAGAATCTTCGGTGGCAGGAGCAGTACTACTACTCCTACAACTTCGGCCACTTCCTATGGCAACCCAGCAGCATCATCATCATCTTCAGCTTCAGATTCAGCTAGAGATTCAGCCTCTTGCCGTGGCCTTTTATGCAAACGACAATTACAATTAGCTTGGCTTCATTGTCTTGGCTCTGCGGCTTCCTCTTGCCGCTTCTTGTTAGCATTTCTGCCGACATTTTCGGCGACCTTAGCGGCGAAGGAAAAACCAAAAAATCAAAAACCAGAAAAAACGAACATTCATCATTCAGTTAAGGCTGAGCTGCAGTTTCGGTGGATTGTTCGAGCCCAAGTATGGATAGCCAGATTTATTATAAGCTTACAAAATAAACCCTATTTTGGTAAATACAAATTTTACGGAACTATCCTAATCACCATTCACTTTGATTTCGCAGAATTAATTAAGTTGGGGCTAATAATAAAATATAGTGATAAAGTCAATATATTACATTGAGCGAGATTTATTACTTCTATTTAATTAAATAGAATACAATATTATTGAATCAGCTCGTGGACTTTTATCCCCAAAAAACTTTATATGAAACGATGATCAATTTGATATTATGTGGTATGGTATGGTATAGCGCATAAATACCAGAAATTTACCAGGCGCATGTCGATGTAATCCAGGGGTGCTTTTTGGTTGAAATGTTAAAATTAATTTAAATTTATTACATTTTATGGTATATATTCTTTATTAATTAAAAAATTAAATTATATTCTTAACATTTAGGAGCCAGCTTAGTATTAATATTTAATTTACCCAAATTATAGCCCCGGTAATGACTCAGCTCTCGGTTCTAAGCAACTGGGCGAAATCTTAAGGCCTTGGCGCCGAAATATGACATGTTTATTTAATAAATTTTGGGCTGCAGCTGCCGCACTCTGCCGCATGTGGCATAAATCACTGTCAGTGCTCATTTGAGGCAGTCGATTGAACAGTTCTGTTGGGCCAAAGAGCCAAACTTAAAACGCAAAATCGGCTGCCCAAGCCAAAAACCCAGACCCATGGCAAATGTTTTGTCAAACGTTTAGTGTAACAAAATGCGGCACACGGGCCAAGAAACCTAGTAATTGTGAGTGAGTCACTCGAGGCAGCAACCTCGAGTCCCGAAAAGTGAATGGCGCCAAGTGGCAAATCATTTTCGCCACATTTTTGGGCATGCTGTCTTATCGATTTTAAATGCGGCAGCTGATTGATTTGCAATTAATAAAACGCTCATTATGACACTCTAATTTTGGCCTACCCCCTCTTTTGCAGAATCGGCCTGTGCGGCTTCGACAATCCGATGAGGGATCAGAAGACCGACGAGATGAAGCGCGTCATCGGACAGGTAAGTTTCCAATTTATGGCACAATCAAAGCGACAACGGTTTAATTAGCTTGGACAATAAACCCCAAAAATTGACGAGAAATCTCCATTAGCGGGGAAGATGGCGTGAAGATTACGGACTACTTAAAGCTTTTCTCTAATGCGAAAAATAAATTAAATTATTTTATGTTGTGGGTATGCGGGTTCCAGATTTCTGAACATATTTCAAATCGAATTTTTGTTTAATTTTGTTTTTTTATTCTTTAACAATATCTATAATTCTAAAATTTTGAACAATTTAAAAGATGATATAAAACTCTTAAATAATTATTAATAATTATAATATTGTTTCGATTTTTCCTCTAGTAACTTACATAAATGTTCCTGTTTACAGGGTGTCAAAATCAAAATGGACGATGCTGGAAACATACTCATCCGGCGGTACGCCAAAAGCAATGTCTATGTGAAGAGCACCGCCAGCAGTCCCAACGAGGAGACCTCCATCGGTGCCGAGATCTTAAAGCTGCCCAATCAGGCGCTCGAATCCGAAAAAATAGTCAAGGTGAGTGGGACCTACACGGCTGCTCTGCCATTTATCGCGATCGGCAGTATCCCACATCCATTCCAAATGCTAATAAGCGTTGCATTGTTCTCCTCAGCTCTTCGACATGAAGAAGTTCCAGTCGAATGTGAATCGCGAATTGCGACGCGCCTATCCGGATCGCCGCCGCTTGGAGACGCAGTGCCTCTCCTCGGTGGCGTTTGTCAAGTCGGAGAACGACGTCTTGGAGTGCCCCATCTGGGTGCTCATCGTCAATGTGGTGGCCATGGATATGCTGAAGAGCAAGCTGCCGCCTGGTGAGTGGTTAACCGATTTCGGATTAAATTACAGTATTTTCTAGTCTATCATGTTTATTTCTAAATGCTTTATAAAATTATTAATCTTATTTTCTCTACTCCCAGTGCAACGTCCCATTGTGGACATCAAGAACCGCCCGCGTATTCCGATTCCCGACGAGGATCCCTACAGTGTGGCCGGCAACGGAAGTGGAGGCAGTTCCGGCAGCTCTGGCTTCGGCAGTGGCCACCAGGCGCAGCTGCATCCACAGCAGCAGCAGCAGCTGGGCAAGCACCTCAACGGCAACGGAGGAGGACATGTGGCCGCCACCCGGGAACAGCTGCTGCTCCAGACGCAACAACTGGCCCACAAGCGCAGCGAGAAACCTCCAAAGCTGCCGCCCAGGGATAATATCTATTCGCACGATCTGATTCCAAAGGTAAGAATAAACAGGTACCATAAAAAACTAGTTATTTGTTATCATTTTTTCATTTTATTGGCGTACTTTAAAGTGTATTAAAAATAGAACTTCTTGAACACTTAAGAAAATATCTACTGAGATCATAAATAAACTAAAAAAAATATAGATAAATTAAAATAAATTAAAGTCTAAAAAAAGTTTAACATGAGTAATTTTAGTTTGCTTTAAAATATAGAAATCAATCATAAATCTACTAAGATCATACAGAAACAAAACAAAATATGGATAAATTAAAAAGAAATCAAAGTGAGATATGTGCGATTTAAGCTCGCTTTAGAATATATAAATCATATGATTAACCATTTAATAACCAGTTGACCCCGCGACATATCCGTTGAATCTTTAAGCACGTAGTATATACGCTTTTAATGGCACACTAGGGAGCAACCCAAGTGTGGGAGATTGCCCAAGTGCAGCTCATTTGCTGGCAAAGTGTCGGAACAAATTTGGCAGCGCTAAAACACGAGTAATACAAGCCACGCCGGCGCAGAAGAAGTGTGGCAACCTGTCGAGTCGAGTCGTTGGGTTACTAGAGTTACTTTGGGCTCCGTGAAGCCAGTTGGCTAGTTAGTTGGACTGCCCATGCTTGGTCACATGCGCAATGCGGCCACTTGCAAAATTAAAAAAAAAAACAAAAAATAAAGGGGAAAAAATGGGTCTCCCTCTTGAAACTCCATGGCTTGCGAAGATTTCGCCGTTGAGCCTCACTGAGCAATTGGCGTTGCATTGCATTCAATAATATTCGAATTTCAGCAGCGACTGGCCGCAAATAACTGCAAACGAATCGCGTGTAATTAATATGCGCGGAATGCCGCCGGATTGCTTTGCAGCTCGATTGCCAATTGGGCCCAACGACCGAGTCAGTGCCTCTTGGCTCGGAGAACTGGGGGACCGTTGTGGCAAACTGACAAACTGTCGAGCTGCCAACTGCCAGTGGAAAATTATGATCGAAAATCCCCACTTTCCTTCTAATTTCGCCTCTCATCTCCTATTTCTTTTCAGCCGGACTACGATGACATTGACTTGGAGACTCGCATCAAACTGTCGCGTGGAAAATCGGACAAGGGCAAAGATAACAAAAAATATGGTAAGATCCAGATTTACGCAACGGTGTCTCGGAGATCTCTGCGACCTAGATACATTCTTACTAAATACAGAATTTATAGGGCACCGCTATCTTTATAGAATACTTTCAAGCCCCCGACTTTTGTTAGAATATTTTTTTGATATTTTGAGAGTGGGTAGAAAAGGAAATCTTTGTCACAAAAAAGTTGATATGCATATTTTCGTGTGTCAATGAATTTAAAGTTTATAGGAAAAAGTATTACAGTTATAAGGGCTTTTAGTAAAAAAAAAGATTTATAAAAAATCAACCATGAAATAAAATACTAATTTTAATTTGTATATTTTACCAAAATTTAAACAAGAAACTAGAAAAATTAAATAATATTTCAGATTACATTACCTTTTAGTTACCTTTTTAAAACTATTTATCTGTGTACACTTTTAAAGCCCCTGCTATTAACCAAAATGTGTCTTCCTTAGATGATCCCTACTACTGCGGCCTGCGGGCCCGAGTCCCGAACTTTGTGAAGTCCGGCAAGCCGATCTCCTCGGCGGCCAAGGACCAGCGAGACGGCAATGCGAACAACATCGGCAACGGCGGCATCAGCACGCTCAGCCAGAAGAAGACCTCGATGATCCACAACCACCTGGGCGGCATGCATCCGCACCACATCCAGCAGCAGCAGCAGCAGCTGATGGCCGCGGCGGCGGCTGCGCATGCGGCCCAGCACCACCATGCGGGTCACCAGCGGGAGCAGCAGCAGCACCACCAGATTTGGCAGACTCGCAGCTATGAGAGCGGCATAGGTATTTATAAACAGGGCGGGCCCAACGCGGCCCACCCACCACACAAATCGCACGCACTGCAAATGCAAATGCATCAGCAACTGCAACATCAACAACATCAACCACAGTCACTGCCAACGGACCTAACAGCAACCACTGCAACAGCAACCACCAAGACACAAAGCACAGCTAACCAACCACGTAGCCACCACCAGCCACATCCGCATCTGCATCCGCACGCACATCCGCACCACAGACACCACCGGCACGGTCACGGGCACCACTGCGAACGGCACGCCCACCTGCAGCAGCAACATGTGTTGCAGCAGCAGCAACCGTACTACGACAATCTGGAGAATCCCGTGGCTCCTCCTCCTCGCTCAGTGTCCCGGCGTCCCTCCACCCGCCGTTCGGCGCCGGAGGAGAGCTCCTCCGCCTGCAATTGCGTTAGCTGCTATGCTCTGGCTCCCCTCTGCGGAGCAGTGCCTCCGCCGCGACCGCAAAGGAGCCTGAGCCAGCAGCAGTTGAGGCGTCACCAGCGGCTCAGCGGCAGCCAGGTGGAGCCCGAAGTCCGGCCGGGTGTGGTCAAGTGGTGCAGCGAGAGCGATGTCTCGGTGCTGGAGCTGGAACCCACGGCTAACGAACGCTACGACGACTGCTACGAGTACGACGACTTCGACATGGCTTTCGACCTGGACGACGACCTGGGCCTGACCGAGAACATACGACGACGCAAGGGCACCGAGACGGTGGACATGTACGTGGATCGCGCCCAGCTCCGCCAGCTGCAGACGCCGGCAGTGCTGAGGACCAAGTCCCAGTCCACCGAGAGCTTCTTCGAGCAGCCCAACGAGGAGGGCTCACTGTACATGTACGGCGGCAGGAAGCGGATCGCGGTGAAGGCGCCGTCGGCGGCGAACATCTATGACCGGGTGCGCGGCTCCATGGACTCCACGGAGAGGGCAGGACGCAGTGCGGCAGGACCAAAAAGGGGCCAGTGCCATAAGAAGCCCCATCTGCCGCCGCCTAGTTGGCGGGGCGGCAAGCGACAGGAGCAGGCTCAAAACGCTGACAAAAGACAAAGATATGACAATGCCATTGGCAACGGCAACAGCAGCAACAACCAACACAAAAGACAGCTAACGAACGCCAAGCAAGACAATGACGACATGTTGAAAAACAAAAATTATTTCAATAGTAAAAACAAAAGTATAGCAACAGCAACAGTCGCAGCAGCAGCAGCAGCGAAAGCGACAGCAACATCAGCCAGCACAGCAGCAACATCTGGAGGTGGAGCAGCCGCCGGAGCAACAGGAGTTGCCGGGGGAAAGGCCCGAGGAGCCCCAGCTACAGACAATGCCACATCGGCCAGTGGGATACAGTCTGCTCCTCCTCCTCCGACGGCCACCAGGACCGGACGCAGTGCCAGCCGCCTTGACATCAGCGACATGGAGTCCATTTATGGCTACCTAAAGCCCCGCAAGCCGCGCAGCCTCAGCCTGAAGAAAATCCAAATACTCGACTACTGAATTCGTATGGGGTTGCTCTAGATCGAAACGAGGTTATATGGCCCAGACATCGATATTCGATATTAGTTATTGTTTTTGGGTTTGCCCCACCCCCTGGGTCGGATGATGGGTGGCTGTACATACAAACGCATAATGGTTACCTTTTATACCCGGTGAACAGAACTTAACTAAACTGTACGAAATGTCTACTAACTTAGCACCTTGGACTCCTCTAGCCTGGACAGTCACGAAACGCAATTGTACATACACAAATCGGGAGCGGGTTGATCGATTTAAAAGGTAGTTTAAAGGCTACAAAGTGGGAAGTCATAAGAAAAAAAAAAATATTCAGTTTCAAAAAAAAGACACTCAAGAACTCGCGTTATGACTATCCCAACTGCTTCAATCTACCCTTAAAATCAACCAACCCCACCAAAACATACATATTCTCATACATAATTCCTAGAAGTGTACCTGCACCCGATTTGTAACCCCCAATCTCTGTGCTTCTTGTAGATTCGGAGCTTGTTGAATCACCTTACAATCACATCTACGGACGCCATTTACCGCTGCCAACGCGCGGCTACGTGCCCACACCACGCATGTTCATCGGGGAATGGGACTGAGCTGAGATACACCGCACTTGGGCGGGTTTCCAGCCGGATTTTGAGCGGCCAAGGCACAAAACACACCACTTGAACGCTGCCCGTGCAGAGCTAATTTAAGTCAACCGGCTGCACACAGCTTGAAATATTATTTACATTATATTAATTTAGCAAAATATTATGGTAAAATAATATTAGGCTAGGCATAAGCAATCGAAGCAAGAAAACAAAGGAAGAGAAGCAAGAGCAATCGCAAACCAATTTAATAATATTTCGCGCTTTCCCCTAGCAGTTTTGAGATTACGCACTTTGTTTACCCTGATGTACGAATTGAATGAATAGCCATTACATTACGAGTTCAGTTAAGTTTTAAGTTTATTGTAAATTTTTCTTTGGCAGCCAACGACTCTGTGGGCCTGTTTGAGTATTTACGTGTTTTTTATGTCAATGATTACAAATCAATGCTGTGAAAACTCAAACAGGCCTGCTTTTTTCTTAATGGTCGGACGGGCTGCTGCTTTTTATTTTATATCGAAATATTCTGTATCGTGTATGAAAAGTAATAAAATAATCTTTCAAAAAAAGAATCCAATTTCAGTCTTCAAATTGAAGACATTTTATTTATAAACTAAAGATTTGACTTGCCTTGTCCTACTGGCATTCCTGGTGATCACATATAGTAATCGGGACCCCAATTCGGTGGCCGCATGTGATCCGGATTGATTCCACCCTGGCCCGGCGCATTCGGGTTGAGGGGACTGAACGGATCGAAGCGGGGCAAAGGTCCCGGCCCCATATTTGGGCGCGATGGAAAGGCAAAGAGGTTGCCAGAGCCACCGCGACCCAGTGGATCCAGATCTCCGCGTCCGATGTCCGGAAAACCGAAGGGGCGCGGCTCGAAACCACCCGGAATGAAGGATCTAAACGACGGCAGTGGATTATTGGGTGCAAAGCAAGCGGCCATTAGTTATGAAATGCTCCAAGGAGGGATCATCCTCTTTAACCTGTTCTATTTACTCAGTTCGTGTAACAAGCTTGAAAGATTTTACTAAATCATTCTAGCCTGTTCCAGAGATAAATCCAGGGACCGTAAATAATCATTATTTGAGATTTTTATTTTAAAAAGACTACTGTGATTTTTTGTTTTAAACGTCAATAAATAACGTTATTATTTTTACTATTGTCCACAAAGTATATGCATGTCAACAAATCTGGAAAGCAAGTTAACTGTTATTTGTTCATGTCTATAAAGTGCATAAAAACCAGTTAAATTGTTGACTAAAACTTGTATAAATCTCAGTAGGCCTTTTAAAATAAAAATCTCAAATAATGGTTATTTACGGTCCCTGGATCAATCTATGATCTCATTAATTTAAATGCAAACACATCTGAGCAACAGAACAAGTTAAAGAACTGAGTAGTTAGAGAGCTAGTTTCACAAACACCATGGTGCTAGTGCCTTACCCGCCACGTCTGGGTTCGCCGATGCGCAAGGGATCCGGATCCGATGAGCTAGGACGTGGCGAGGTGGTCGTCTGGGTGGTGACCTCGCGCGAATTGCCAGTAAAGACCGGGTCCAGGAGCTCCCTGCGATAGCGTTCGACAATCTCCGAGGCGCTCGGCATCAACGTGGTAATGCCTCCCTTGACGGCGGCCACCAGGGTCTCGGGCTCCACGCAGATGTTGGACACCTTCTTGCTGTTGATGTCCATCAGGTTGATCAGCAGGGCGTCCTCGGTGATGTGGCCCAGCAGAAGGTAGAGCGTCTTGTCATGCACATAGCGCAGCGAGAACTTGGTATCGTCATCGTTCCAGCTGTCCGGCAGCAGTTCACTGCCCTCCTCCTCTGGCAAGGTTTTCTGGAAAAAGTCTGGATGATTCCGGAGACCGATATAAATATAAATTTCGCAAGAATCTCACATCGTCGCCGATGCCAACGCAGCGAAAGTTGTAGTGCTTGGTCAGCAGAAAGTGGACCAGGGCGATTAGCAGGTCCGACTTCTTGGCCACCTCCTTCTGGATGGTCTTGTAGAGCAGATCCCAGCCGTAGAAGAAGTCGCCTGTCTTTGCAGCCGGTGCACTCTCCATGGCGGCAATTTCTGGACAAGATTAAGCAGAACGAACGAAACGTTCTAGTTTATGCTTAGGTGGAAATAAATGTGCTTACATTTTCTAGTTCGTTCGTTTGGATGTCACCTTCTACAGTCCTTCAGTTGTCAGTGATTTCGATTTCTGGAAAATGCTGTTTTCAACAGAAAATTAAGAAAATTAGATTAAAATTAAATTAATTGTAAACAAGAAAGCAAGTTAGCTTCGGCAAGCCGAAGTTTACATACCCTGGCAGTTAAAATAACGACTACTTCCTACAAAATTACAATGTTTTTTTTATTATATTTTGGATTATTCCTATTAGAGCCATAAGATATAGTGGTGTGATCCGACTTGTGTACTAAAGAAGACTTTTGGGAAAGTTTAAATCTGAGAGACTAGTTCGCATAAAAACGGACAGACGGACATGGCTAGACGGACTCGGCTAATGGTGCTGATCAAGAATACATCTATATACTTTATGTGGTCGGAAACGTCTCCTTCACGGCGTTGCAAACATCTGACTGAATTTATAATAACCCTGCAGGGGTATAAAAATGATTTTAGAAATAGGAAAGTTTAGAAAGACAAAGGGCAAACCTTTTCATTGTAAAATGTAATAACCTAAAGAAACACCGAGAATAGTTTGGCTTGTTTGTGTTACCGCTAAAACTGCGGATTCCGTGAAAGTTCCTTAGCTGTCCTCGAGTGTTCTTGGTACTCAAAAATGCAATGTTTTGCAAGTTTTAATGTCGACTTATCTTTGACCAGAGGTGGGAACAGTTCTTAGAGCTGCAACGAATCCGATGATACAATCGTTTATCTGGAAACATCGATTCTGGTTTTTGTTATCGATATTTTTGTATTTATGATGTCTTCATCGAAAAACATTATTTAAAATTCTAAATATATTTTCTCATCAACCTAGGGGCTATTGAAGCGTTGAAACCAGAGTTGTCACCTTATTTTATTAAAATTACATTCCAAATCTGTAACATTCTAGTATCTCAGTACGGATTATTTACAGGGGGATTCCTAAACTGTTCAAATGCTGAATTGTTGAATTTTACTGTTAACCACAAAAACAGCCCGGGAGGAAAATAATTGTGAAAAGCCAGAGTTGTCACCTTTTTTAAAAATGGCAACTCGTAACATTTTAGTATACCAGTACATTATTTATTTTAAAATCAACTAGAAAGCATATTTGTGGTTCTTTTTACTTTTAGACAGTAACAGCAATAATAAATCAATTTTACTTTAAGTTCCGTGAAATTTTCAACAAATAACAGCGTTTGAAAATTCATCAGGAGTCATTTGGGTCGTCCTTAATCGAAATTTTTTAATTTCAACAATTCAGCAATTCAACAGTTAGGGAATCCCCACATAAATTCAAATAAAAAAGGATAATTTTTATATGGCTGAAATGTTCTTTGAATCTTAAAAGATCCAGCAATTTATGAGTTTAAGTAATACTCAATTTGTGTTCAAGGGTTCGATTTTGTAGGAGAGTGGCAAACGTATTGTACAAATGTTATCGGTAAGGTAAATAACCTTCTTGTGTTTTTTTGTTAAATTTTAGAACTATAACCTTACTTTCATAATTCAAGGAATACCCTAATCCCACTAATGTGAGAATAATTTTTAAAATGGCTTTCCCATTTTGATAAATTTAAGCCTCTAGCTCAGCTAGACTAGCTGTAGTGGGGTAAAACAATTCAGATTCTAAAAACCTAAAATTTTTGAGTAGTTTTCAAGACAAAAAAAAACATTTAACTCAAAATCGAAATTATCGATTATATCGATAATTTCCTTAGAAAAATATAAATATTTCAAAAAATATTTAAAGCAGGATAACATCACTTTAATTTATGTTAATCGTTTTAAATCATTTACATATATATATTATCCCTCGTTGAGAAAATTAAATAATTGTTTCATAAAAAAAAACTTTCACTAAACAAACCAGAGATAACTTAATATTTAGCAAAAAAGAAAGTATTTTATTTAGGTTTTCATGGACATGGTCAAATTACAAATTATAAAAGTACTGGAGTTACTACGTTAGTAGAATCTGGACTCTCGATCCACTCGCAGTAAAATAATGATCGCGAATGCACTATAACCAGAAAAACACAGGTATATATGTATACCTATAAATTAATTTTCCAGAGAAATGTATATTGCCCTCTGTGCTAACAATCGCTATCTCATGAATCTTTCTTTTCTAGGGGAAATGACTCACGTTCTTTTTATAAACATCTAGACTCGGGGAAGTCCCTCAAAGGCATTCTTTTGTTATTTCACCAGATTTATTTATATCCATAATTACGGTGTTGGTTTCGTGAACTTGTTTAAACGTTAAATTGTTGAGTCATTTTTAAATTATTCAAGCATTGGTAAAAAATATCGATAAGTTTTTATGGTCACACTTATATCGCTTGCTTGGAACTAGTTCGCCGAATGCGAAAATATTTGCAAATTTATAAGTGTTAGGGAATTTAAATTGTATTTTGTCATTTGAGAAGTTTATTTTTAACAGAATAAGTTTCCTTTGTCACATTTAACCCAACCAAATTTCGACAAATTTGTGTTCTCTTTCTTGAAGCGTTCGTATTCTTATGGACTGACCATGAGTGCGAAGGAGACAACTAGTTGGTTTAGGGTTGCCAGGGCTTGCGAATATGAAATAAAAAAATAAATTTTTTAACTATAAACCTGCATTTAATGAGTTTAGAAATTATAATAGAAGTTTAAGGAATATAAATAAAAAAAGTTTTGGAAAAATGTATTTTTTTTAATGTTTTTTAGCTAAAAGATCGTTGTTTTTGGGTGGTATTATGGAACTTTTTCTATTTTATGGATAAGAGAATTCTTGTGATATCTGGGGATGCATTCTTAAGCGGTTTGCCCTGGAAAACAGATATAGAGTATCAGTCCAAACTTGTTATATACACTTCGTAGAATGAACTTCGGCTCCGAACCGAAGTGGCAGCCATATTGAAATTTCAACCGAATGGCTAGCTGTCATTCTCGGGTGAAAAAATCTTTTCTTTCACAATTTCGACGAGAACTGCTGTGCGTTATTCGGTTTTAAAATATCTAAACAAATTCGTTATTTGCCGGTTGCCGCAACTAATAAAAAAATAAACACGCGCCGCTTGCAGAGTTGTTGTTGTCGTCTGGGCGAACAGCAAAATTGTGTGTGATTAGCGCGCCGCTTCTTATTTTCAGCGGCGGCAGCAGCGAATTGTGAATTTGTTAGGTTTTAAGTGCTAAGATTGGTGCGGATCGTAGGGTTCGCAGGTCCCAGGAGCAGGACAAAGACCAGGAACCATGAGCGGCAGTACTCCGGGGGGCGAAAGTGCCCTGGTGAAGGTAGCGACGCCTTCGCCATCGCCGCTGGCCAGACTAGATGTGGACTATACGGGTGAGTGTACCTCCTGGCGACCACCACCCATGTGGCAGATCAGTAACTCTGCATATTCGCCACGCCAGGTTCCAAGTTCGAGATGCACTCGTCGCTGTCGGACGAGGAGCGCCGGTTCTACCTGAAGATGTACCCCAACGTGGATCTGGTGAACCAGCGGAAGGTGCACTGCACCGTGTGCAAACTGCATCTGGGCACAGCGCCAGCCTCCGAGAACAACATCAAGATGCATCCGATCCTGCGAGTGACGCACTGCGTCAAGTGCCATGACTTCTACAACAGCGGCGAGTTCTCCAAGGGCGAGGACGGCTCCGAGCTGTACTGCCGCTGGTGCGGCCAGGGTGGCGAGGTCTACTGCTGCTCATCCTGCCCGTACGTCTTCTGCAAGTCCTGCATAGTCAAGAACCTCTCCAAGGGCGTCATCGTGGACATCGAGCAGAACGAGCACTGGAACTGCTTCAGCTGCACCTCCAAGATCCTCTGGCCACTGCGCGCCCAGCACTGGGCCCTGGTCAACTACCTGCAGACGCAAAAGAGGTAGAGGAACAGTCCTTACAATCTAAATTTAAGATTAATTCTAAGGTGGAATAAGGTATTCTAAGAGAATATGCTTTGAGGTCTTAGTCTTGTTCGTTCATTAAGGTTTTCTCTGAGAGTATAGATTAGTTTAAGCATTTATGGAAAATATAGAAGTCTCTATCCTGTCCTTTAGATCTTCTTAGATGGAATAAGGTATTCCAAAGGAACTCTTTCTCAAGTTGTCCATATGTAAATCTAAATTAGAATAAAATAAATGTATCAGAAATCAATTATTTTAAAGCATGCTTTAAATTTATGCAATCGGACTTTAAAGTATCCTTATTATTTATGTTTATTAAGGTCTTGTCTGAACGTATACATTAGTTCAATGCATTTATTATTAATGCGCTATCCTGTCCTTTAGATCTGACTCAATAATAATTGACTCTTTGCAAGTTGCATAAAATCAATTTAAAAACCCCGTATTAAGAATTTTTATAAGGCATGCCAATTCAAGCATTCCTTAAAACTACCCTTTTATGAATTTACAAATTAAATCCCACTTACCCTCATATTTTCAGAGCCCTACAAGGCTTGCAGCTGCCCGAGCTGGAGGCTCGCCGCCAAATGCTCAAGGATAACAGCAACTGCTGCCGTTTGGCCAAGTCGAAGGCCAGCAGCTTATCCGACTCCATGGAGAGCTTGGAGTCCAATGTCTCCAAGCGCAGCCACGGCAGCTCGGTGGGCTCGACCAAACGAGGATCCCTGACCAAAGCCGCTCCATCGGCACCGCCGGCCAAACGTCCAAAATCTTCCAACGACGAGGTGGTCTGCACACCGGATCTGCTCAGCATGCTGGAGCCGGACTGCCAGCTGTCTGTGACCCCCAAACCGGCTGGCCGTCCGCCGATGGCAGCGTCGAATATTACAACCACTCCCAGGATTGTCACCGTCCAGCAGAACTACCAACCGGGACCAAGTTCCAGTTCCAGTAGCAGCAGCAATGGTGGTGCCAGTGGGTCCTCCGCGATGGCAATGCCGCGTAGCAGCCTGCCACCGCCACTGGTGCTCAGTGGGTCGGGGATTCGCTACCGCCAGAGTTCCCCTGGTGGCGTTGTGCGACGCACCGTGGTGCCCAACTCGGTGAAGAGCGCCGGGCCAGTCTTCCACACCATCAATGGCTACCGGGTGGATTTGAACAGCGCTGCACAGCAGGACTCCTACCGCCTTCCCAACGGACGTTTGATTCAGGTGAAGCGCCAGTTGCCTCAAGCCACCGGTCAGCCCTCGCCACCGCCACCTCTTCCTGCTCTGGCTATACCTCCCGTGGGTCCTGGCGTGGTCATCCGGCCACGGCCTCCGATTCCGTCTAACCGGCCCCCGCTGCATATCAGCAGCTACGGCTCCAACATGGGCATCTACAACCCGCAGTCGGGTCAATCGCAGCGACCGCCGCAAGTGCGAATGGCGAGTGCCATCCAAGGGCCTCCAGCCGTTCCAGGTCCGCCGCCGAGCGCCAATGGGGGCCTGACGATTACCCCGGCACAGCCTCCAGCTGCCAAGGGTCCAACGCTGGTGCGTCACATGTTTCCCAACACGACGATGGGACAGGCACGCGCCCAGCTGCAGGAGCAGATCTTCGCCGCCATGGAGATCTGCACCCATCTCACCGGCAAAGTGGTCTCGCTTACCCACTCGAACGCCTACAACCAGGTGCGCAACTTCCTGGAACTCAAGGAGCTGTACATCCACATGTCCTACTTGATGACCTACGCCATCGGGCGGTTCAAGAATCTGCAGGAGAAGTGTCTTGTGGACATGCGGGAGAAGGGCTTTAAGAACGACGCCAACAGTCTGGAGAACGGTCAACTGGCAGCCGGTGAGTTTAAAAATTATATATATTTCAGAAAGCTTTTGGTACTCTATATACTCAAGGGATAATTGGCAGATCTCAATATTATAAGGTTTATAAGTAATTAAATGTTTTCTTAATAAATTATTAAGTAAATAGAAAATAGCAAGTTACTTTCTAGAAAGCAATTAAATTTCCTTTGCTTTAAAATGTATGCCTATGTAAGTTGATAAAAAGATATTTCATGTGAGTTAAAGTTGGTCAGTTCTTGGGTACTGAATAGTTAGTATATTATTGAGTAATATTTACTCAAATTTAAGTTGATAAAAAGATATTTTATGTGAGTTAAAGATTGCCAGTTCTTGGGTAATGAATAGTTAGTAGTAACTTCATCACTTGGTGGCCAGAATGTCCCATTTCCTGTCTTTGGTGCGTATTTTCGACACATGGACGGGATTTAATTTCCGGTTTTCGTTTCGCGTGTGTGTTTATTTTGATCGGATGGCGATGAAGATTTAAAGGCTGCATGTAAGTATGCTGTGTTTATGAAAAACTCTGCGAGTTCCATTTCATTTGCTGCGATGAAGAGATTTTAATTTTAGCTTGGTCCATGTGTTTGCAAAATACCATCCAGAACAGGCAATGGAATAGAACCCGGCAGCAGTTTTTCCAGTGAGGTTAATCTCTCGCTTCTTTCAGCCGTCGACTACGTTTGCTACGGCCAGCTGGACGACGTGGATCTCTTCAACACGGGCTGCAATAGTTTCCACAATCAGGTCTATGAGTACCGAAAGAGTCTGCATGCCAATCTGAAGGATGGCGAGGACTGCGAGCCACTGCCGCCGCTGATGCCGCTGGGAGTTCGGGCTGAAGGCGATCCCATCGACGAACCGGAGGAGCCGGAAATAGTGCAGGAACAGCAGCGAGGCGACAACGAAGAAGCGGATGACATTGACTACGATGAACCGGACGATTTGGATGATGATTTGGACGACGATGAGCTGGACAATGAGGAGTGCGGCGAACTGGGCACCGAGGAGAGCATGAATCGCAACGAACAGGCTCACGCCTACGACCGCAAGTTGACCCGGCTCCTCCGCGAGTATCCATCGTTGTGGTGCACCCGACACCCCGATTACGGAAAGAAAGAGGTCACCAACAAGCAATGGCGGGTGATTGCCAGCCACTTTCCGCGCGGCGACGACATCAAGCTGCGCTGGAAGAACGTGCGGAAGCGATACGTTCGCATCGAGAGGCGACTGAAGCAGGGAAAGCGTTTCAAGGGCTACTTCGATAAGGCCACCAACTATCTGGAGAACAGGGATCGGCCGAGAAGCGAATGGCTGGCGGTGGACTGCGGCGAGGATGATGGCGATGGCTTCGAGCGCAAGCACCTCGACGTAATCGAGAACACAATGGAGCAAAAGGCACTCAAGCAGCCAGCGGTAAAAATCAAACCAAAAGGTGGCTCTCGAGTGCCCATGCGTCCGCTCGAGGTGCGTCCCATTGATCAGCGCATCATAACCTTCGCCAAAAGCCATCCAGTGCTCTGGCGTAAATCCGCCGATCCCGAGTTCAACAGTATTGACGAACAAACCCGCAAGTCCCTGTGGCAGAACTTCTGGAAGTCTGCACCCAGTAAGTTGAAATAATCAGCCCTATAATCAAGCTTTAATCTCTTGTCATACTGTTCATTTTCCAGATTATGCCTGCGAGTATCTTGTGGAGCGCTGGCAGCAAATGTACGAGATGTACAAGTCCTTCCGCCTCAAGAGTATCAAGGACAAGGGCATCTTTGCCAATCTGGAGCTAAAGTACTCAAAGTACTTGGCCAGCTTGTACTTCCTGTACAAGATCGACGAGCAAGACCTGCGCGACGAGTTCGAGCCGCTGCAGGATTGCGTGCCGAAGGGTGCAGACTCCGCGGGAAAGCTAAAAGACATGCCGGATGACAAGCAGTTCTCCCAACAACTAGTTCTGGCCATGCGGGCCTATCCCACACTCTGGAATCCACGCCATGTGGACTACAGCGATGTGGGAGCCAGAGAGCGGCTCTGGCCGGAAGTGGCCAGGCGGTTGCCCCGCTTCAAGAGGGATGCCCAGGCCTGCAAGCTCCGCTGGCAGATGGCCAAGTTTGCCTACGAGTGCTACTGCCGCGAAATGGAGCGACATCCACGGGTCAACGAACGAAAGCTTCAGAAGCTGCGTTGCAATTTTCCGCTCGAGGAGATGCGCTTCCTGAACATTTAGACTCGACATTCCAGTCCTTTTCTAGGCTTAGTTTTTTGTACTTTGAGATTATAGCTTAAGCTTAAGTAAACAGTATTTGCCAACATTGCCAGGAGCCATACTTACAAATATAAATTATTTCTTGATCATTGCAAGCTGTGTTGTAAAATTTATGGATCTCGGGGTTATATTTTAAATATCTTATATTTTTTAAACGCTTTATTTTATTAACTTTCACCTTTGCCTTACAGAGAAACAAGCCAGCGATGACGAGGATAACGAGATCGAGATTGTGGAGCCCAAAACTGACACCATTACCATCGATTCGGACAACGAAGATGACACGCCCTCGACTTCAACGCAACAACCTCAACAGCAGGCCATTATGAAGATAACTTCTGTCACATCGGCGGCACCGAAAAGCGAACAGGTGGAGAACCAGGCCGACATCGATGTGGCGGCCTTCAGCTCCACGATATTGGCCAGCCTGCTGGAAGTGGAACTCCAGGAAGGGTCCACTGAGCCGAAGTCCGTTTCTCCCGGCCAAAAGAAACAGCCGCGCAAGAAGACAACGAATAAGCCAAACCCGGCTCTTCTGCAGCTGGAACGCCAGCGCATGGAGGAGCTGAAGAAATCCGATGCCAAGCTGAAAATGAAGGTTGTGGTTAGGTTAAAGCGAGCTGAGGATGAGTTCGAGGTGGCCCGCAAATGGGTTGAGGAATGCAGGAAAAATGCTGCCAAGGAAGTGTCATCAAATGATGCAACCAAGGAGCCAGCGAAGGCGCCAAGTGAAAAGGCAGCAGACTCCACCAAAAAGATTTCGGAAAAACAGGAAATTAAAGAGAAAGAATCCTCGGACAAGAAAGATTCTATAAAGGAACAAGGCGAGGAAAAAGTGACTGTCGTTGATAAGGAAAAGTCCAAAAATAAGGAAAAAATTGGAGAAATATTGAAAGCGGCAATAAAAGCCAAAATTGGAGAAAAGGAGAAGAAATTGGCTAAAGAAAAACTTGCACAGGATGAAAATACAATTGACAAAGAGAAGAAATTAGAAGCAGATAAATCAAATAAAGAAAAATTAGTAACAAAAGAAATAGGAAATAAAGAAACATCAGATATAGAAAAGGAAAAAGTAGCTGAAAAGATAGAATCCAAAATTGTAAAGGAAGGAATTGAGGAGGAATCCTGTCAAGTCTCAAAAAAAGGTAAGGATGTCAATAGCAAAGAAGTTTCGGAAAAAAAAAATCTGAAAATACAGAAATGGAAGTAGATTCTGAAATAGCTTCGGAAGAAAAACAGGCTGATCCCAAAGAAATTGACGTCGACTCCGAAAAAAAATCAGAAAAAGAGCTGAGTGGTGCTGCAGAAATGGAAGTAGAGTCCGATATTGTTTTAGAAAAAGAAAAGGCTGATAAACAAGAAAAGAAAGACGATCTTGACCCAGTTTCAGAAAACAAAAAAGCTGAAAAAGATACAAATCAAAATACGAAACCATCTGTAATTAAGGAGGATGAAAAGAAGCTGCTCAAAGAAATGTTTTCTGAGGACGAAACGAGTGAAATAGAAGAAGTCACTGAAAAACCGCTTGAAAAATCTAAAGAGAAACTGACCGAAGAACTCACTGAAAGTGAAGTGGCAAAGGACGCTGAAAAGGATATTCCAGTGGATGAAGCTAAAGTTTCAGAAACTGAGGCAGAAGCAAATCAGGACAACGTCGAGGAGGTTGAAAAAAACCTGGAGAACGAACCCATAGTTGAACCCATGGATACTACCAACGAAAATGACCAGCCTTCCGCAGCGGAACTCATAGAAAGCATGGACGTAACCGAACTGGATGAATCTCCCAAAGAACTACTAGATTGCGCCATAGACGAAGTCATTGCCATGGATGGCAATGAACTCAGTGCAGCCACAGAAGAGTTGATGAAAGCTTTAGACAGCCCCGGCGTTCTGGCTTCCGAAAATGCAATTGAAGATGAGACTGACTTGGATGCAAACGATTTAATTGAAAATATCCCACTGGAAACTCCGGAGCCACCTGAGATTCTGTTGAAAGAGGACGAGAGCGAGGTATCGAGTAAGTCGGATCCACCGACAGAGACTGAACAAAGTGAGACACCTTCGGGCAGCTCCGGCGAAAATGGTGACACCGAAATCGAATCCACCCAGGAAGCCAGTGAGTGTACTGCTGATTCTGCACAAGACGAGCCCGCCACGGCGCAAATTGTTGGCTAGTTTGTGTTGATCATTCGAGGTCCCGCCGACGAGGAATCATAGCATTGGACCTCAAAACCTTTAACTTAGATTTTCTACTAGAATTTAAATGAAAGACAACTAACACTGCGGATGTAAAACCAAACAAGAAAAATCATTAACACCACATGTTTCATGTAAATACTTTTCAACCATTTCTAATGGTATATTATTACGCAATTGTAGATCTATTGTCTTTAATTGTTTCTTTTTGACTTTTTATTTCAATATACTTCAATATTGACTTGTAAAAAAAAATTTTTCATATTATTTGCTTGTGGGCCTGATATTATTGTGAATATCAAACAAGCGCTAAGCTCAGCTAAGTTAACAGCTTTCAGAATGTCTGAAAGTGCACAAACTAAAATAATGATTTCTCTCGTATTATTTGTATCAATCATTGGACTTTTTAATAATTGCGCATAACAATAGGTTAAGTGTTGCATTTTAAAATGCATTGTTATGTTTCCGAAAAAGCTTAAAAAGCCTGAATTTATCGGGCTATTCAAGATTTGAAACAATATTTTTAGCTTCTCTTAATGTTCATTCATACTTGGGTAACCAGAAATAAATGGAATACGACAGCCGATTGAAAATAAATTAGTAATTAAGTTATTAATTGATATTGATATAAATGTGTAAATCTAAGCTTATCTTATGACTAATAAAAGATCTAAAGAACTAGCATTAAATGTAGTCAATATCCTAACAGTGCGATTTCTTTGCTATTTGGCTTTTGAGAAAGAGATTATCTGGCGTTGGACATTTTATGCTATAGTTGGCAACGAAATTCCAGGCCTCCATCATTCTAGTCTCTGGCACCGGGTGAAGGGAAATGGTTCCCTTGAATATGCACAATGGCTTCTGGTAAACATAGTTGAAGAGTGGATGGTAGCGTCGCTGGATTCCCGCCTCCTCCGCACAGATTCCAGTGACAAAGACGTCCTCGAGATGAACGAGCGATGTGGTGAGAGATTCCTTGTACAACCGCTTAACGACATCGATGGATAGCAGATAGCCTGTTCCGGACAGATACTTTGGGTACTTTGCACCCTGAAAAATGTATTTCGGCATGTACCAAGGACTGCTCGCATCGAAGTTGGCCTCCATGTTGCAAAACTTGTGGCCGTACATTACTTCGTCGGTGGCGCTTAAACGATTCCACGGCGACATTACTTTATAAGTGGTCCGGAAGTGATAGCCCACCGTATCTTTATACAGGGGGATAGTACCCCCCAGCAGGAAGTGGAGTAGATTGGGCACATTTACAAATGTATCATCGTCACATTTCAGGAAGAAGGCGGATGTGTTTCCGCAACTTTGGCTGATATGCTTTAATGCCATTACCGATTTTAAGGTCAAGTTGTGGTAACTGTCTACAAAGTCCTCTTGGATGATGTCGTTATGACGATTGGCCTCTCTGGACAACTTTTCATCTTCCCGCATGGACTTGTGCTTGGATCGTCCAACTATGAACACAATACGCACACTGGCGGTCAGGGAGTGACCCAAAACACTGATATAATCCGCGTAGTGCCTTAGACGATCTTTCATTATGGGCAGGTATTTGCCTTCGAGGTGACCATGAAGCTTCACAAATTCTTTATAATTAAAATCCCTGGTATTTCCCCATGATTCCCGGATAGTCTTCCGTTGAGCAAAGTGTTCTAGGCTGGAGCAAACCGCAATAACCAGAAATGTTTTGATCTTGCAGAAGTCCTGAGGCACTATTAGCGCTGTGTTTTTCTTTTGGTCCAGATAATCGCCTATTTTCAGGGGCTTCTCGCGTTCCCATCCCGGCAATTCAGCTGAGAACAATAAAATTCAGAGTGTAAGAAATGCAAATACGTAATTCCTTACAGTTGTTCTTACCCTGTCGGTCGGTATTATCCTTATATTTCACTACATGACCTCGGTAAATGAGGAATAGGACCAGCAGTAGAATCAGGACTAATTTATAACGACGGATAAGCCTCCAGATCCTTGGCCGATACAAGCTCAATCGCTGCAGCATCCTCATAATTTAAAATATATTTTATTTTGTGAAAAACTAAGTATACAAAGTTGACTGAATATAAAAAGGAGTAAAGTTTTTTCTTTTTTGTCGATTTTTGGAGCTCAACAGCCACTCGCTGAACACAATTTTTTTTATGGGTTTTTGGTATTGGGATTAGTTAGAATAGGGGTTAAAAGCAGAAAGCATCATTACACTGCAAGAAATGTTAAAATGGCTCGACGGAATACAATTTTCTGTAAAACTTAGTCAGTTCATTGGAAAACTCAATTTCGAACTGAAAATTGACGTCGAATATCTCGATACAAATTTTAAAAAGTTGTTAAAATAAACTTTATTTATTGTTCTTTGATGTGATGTAACAGAAATATATATTTGCACCACAACAATTCGCGTAATGATTTAATTTTCCTCGATTTACTGGGCAATGTCTGTGATAAGAGAAACAGCTTCGGCACCACCAACATATTTTCCATTCTTGAACAGTTTGACCACGCCTTTCAAATAACCTCGCGGCATCATGGTCGGCCAACCGTCAGTATTTGCGAGCACCTCCTTGAAATAGTAAATCCCCTTCGGCACGGGACATGGGCGGGTGTGTATGGGAAAGTCCGTGTTTTCCCCGTACTTTAAGGTCTTTTCAATATACGACCAATGGGAATTTACGGCATTACAGAATTTTTGTAAGGGAGCAGAAAAGGGGAGCTGTTTGTAATCGCCACCGCCATTGGAATCGATGAAACTGTCAACAGACACTGAATATGTATTGTCAATAATTTCCTTTACTTCCACAGTACCATTTGCCTTGCGATCTCGTCCCAAAAATCGAACTTTACTCAAATCAACAAAGTCTGGGCCCGTTACTTTAACTGATATAAAACGTATATCGTACGTTTTCGGAAGATAGGTCTGCAAAAATTTAATTTTATTTAATCAAATAGGTGTTATTTAATTACTCACGTAAGCCTTGCCGATCAACATTAGTAAAATATAAAAGAGAGCGTTCTGCATTGTTTCACCTCAATAAAGTTATACCTTTGGACTTGATTTGGATATTTATAGGGCCAGTGCTGGCTTTCAATACTACATTGTACATCTTTTTTATCTAATAATAATTAATTAAATATTACATTTTGTATTAATTAAGTTGTTACTGCCAAGCAATATAATTTAATTAAGCTATCTACCCATCTACTACATAGACTGTTGTTGTTACAACGAAAATAGGGTTAAAAAAATGAAAACATGATTACAACTGATTAATAAAACTAAATAAGTATAAAAATAATGTTTAAACATAGAGATCGGTATATATTTTTTGCAAAGTCTTTTGCAATTCTGGACATTAATATTGTGTCCTCAATTTTTACATATTGAAATTTTTAATGCACAGATAAGTCCGTTAATATTTAGGATTTATGTGAATAGTTTTAACACCTTTGCTTCTTAAGCAGACTCGTCTGGAAGCCCTTTTCTGGCGGAGGGCATTTGCTGCTGTAGTTGGTGACTTGGTACCAGGCGTCCCACATCATATAATCCTTGGCACGGTGAGCGGTGAAGCATCCCTTGAGGGTGCACTGCTCCTCCTCCTTAAACGGGTAGCTGGACCTAAAGAGCGGGTGGTTCGTCCGCTTGATCCCAGCCTTCTCGGCACACAATCCAGTGATGAACAGGTCCTCCAGGTGCACCATCCTGGTGGCCAGCGCGGCCTTGTACAGACGAGGCACCACATCGATGGACGTCACGTAGCCGGATCCGCACAGGTATGGCGGGTACACTCCGCCCCTGAACATATACGATGGCATGTACCATTTGTTGAGCTTATTGGTGATCGGCGGGACGTTGCAGTACTGGCGTCCGTACATCACCTCTCTGCGGGCCGTCAGTCGTTTCCGTGGAGAGGTGACCTGGTAGGTGTTGCGGTAATGGAAGCCCACAGTGTCCTTGTTCAATGGAATCGTTCCTCCGAGCAGAAAGTGCAACACATTCGGTATGTTTACGAAGGTGTCGTCGTCGCACTTAAAGTAAAACGCCGTCGAGTTTACACAACTCTGGCTGATGTGCTTCAAAGCCATCACCGTCTTGATGGTCAGATTATTGTAGGTGTCCATGAAGTTCTCCTGGATGATATCATTATACTTTTCCGCCTCGGAAGCAACAGCCTCGTTTTCAAGCAAAGAGTCCCAGTTTCTGCGGCCCAAAATGAAAACGATTCGAATGGAGGCCTTCAGGGAGTCTCCTTCGCCACTCAGATACTCGGCGTACAGTTTCAGGCGCTCGGGGAGCACGTCTAGGTATTGCCCCTTGTTGTAGCCATGGAGCCGAACGAAGGACGAGTAGTTGAAGTCTGTGGAGTTGCCCCAAAGCATACGGATGGCACGTCGCCGTTCAAAGTGATGGACGAAGGAGCTGACTGCGATGGTCAGAAAGGCCTTACTTCGGCAAAACTCTCGCGGGACAATTAAAGCCGTATCCTTGGCTGGATCCAGGTAATCAGCTATACTCCTAGGCGTTTCACGGCCCCAACCCGAGAGAGAAGCTGTTAAAAGATTATAATTAGTATCAAAGTATTCATCTTTGCTTAACTTACCGTTTCGCTTGGTAGGATCCTCCTTCAAATTAAATATCCTGTACGCCACGTAAAGAATAATCAGAATTTTCACGATATCCTTGTACCTTCTGACAAGCAGTCCCCAGATCATTTTCACGAGTACTCGGAGACGTTGCTGTCGCTTAAACTCCCCTAAGCACTTGAAATTCATTTTTTCAAGTAGTTAATCTTAAAATTGACAACTTTCGAAAGGGTTGATTATTTTCAGATCTTTATTCGCCTTTTTAACAAAAACACAACTAGATATTTGGCCATCTGATTTAGTATTTTTGTCTATCACACCTTAAACAATTATGATTGATTAATTTTATTCGTGTTTTGTGCGTGAATGAATTCGGCTCAACTTTTTACAGGAAGCTTTAAGCGCACAGAAATATGAATACAAAATATAATTATTAAATATCAGACAAAGTGTGAGAGCTATAAACTAATTTACAGCAGGGAGTATGTAAATGTATCAGATCTCATGAAAAAATAATAAATACTTAAAGTTCTAATTAATTTCAGAGATTCTGGAAAGGTTCAGAATTCTAGATATTTTCGATATCCTGCTTGTGCATTACTTTTAACATTGATATGGATGTGGGGGTGTTAGGCGTAAGCCAATACATTAGGATAATAGTAGTAACACTTCATGAGTTTTGTACGTTTTTTGTATTTCAAAAGAGGAATACTAATATCGAACGAGAAGTAATAATAGTTAAGAATTTTTGTAGGAATATCATGAGTTTATCGAACAAAAACTGTATGTTATCTAAAAAAGTTAACCATAAACTCGATTATATTCCGGTCCAATTATATATCACCTTTGCCTGGTAATTAAGTCAGTTGATTATGTTCTACAATCAAATCGTTATCTTATCCCAAGCACGTATACATGTTATTTCAGGAACTAAGTTCAAAAATGTCTATTGAAGCAATGTAACTATAGTATTTCGGGTTCTCCAGAGAGCAGGGGGAATGGGTGGGCGTCATGGACGCACCCTGGAGTCTTAACAAATCGGTCGCTTACGCAATCGCATTTGACTGAAGTAGCGCCCCGGCGGCGGACACTTAATGGAGTAGTTGGCCACATGGCGCCACGCCTCCACCATGCTGTCGTCTTTCATCTGGTGCTGTGTGATACTGCCCTTAAAGGCACACGCTTGTTTCGAGTGGGCGAAGCTGAAGAGCGGGTGGTGGTGGCGATTAATCTTGGCCCTTTGGGCGCACAGCCCAGTGATGTACACGTCCTCCAGGTAAACGAGTGTCGTATTCAGCGAGGCCTCGAACAGACGCTGCACCACATCGATGGACAGCAGATAGCCGGCTCCGGAAAGGTACTTGGGATACGTCTCCGGCTTGAACATGTACGAGGGCATGTACCACTTGCTGCTCACTTCGCTGACCGGCACCACGTTGCAGAACTGATGGCCGTACATCACCTCGCTGGTGGCCTTCAGGCGATTCTGCGGCGAGGTGGCCAAGTAGGTGGAGCGATCGTGGTAATCCAGCGTAGCGTTGTATAGAGGTATAGTTCCGCCGAGCAGAAAGTGCAACAAATTGGGCACATTCACGAAGGTATCATCGTCGCACTTGAGGAAGAAGGCCGAGTTGTTGGCGCAACTGCGGCTGATGTGCTTCAGAGCCATCACAGACTTGAGCGTCAGATTGTTGTAGCTGTCGACGAAGTTCTCCTGAATGATGTCATTGTACTGGTCCGATTCATTGTGAATGCGATTGAGTGTCTCGTTGCCCAGAAGAGCCTCATCCGCCTGTCGGCCCAGAACGAATACAATGCGCACTGAGGCGGTCAGTGAGTCGCCGGAGCCGCTCAGGTAATCCTCGTACAGTTTCAGGCGCTCCGGCGACGGCGGCAGGTAGTTTCTCTTGAGGTGACCGTGCAGCTTGACAAAGGCTGGATAGTTGAATTCGGTGGTGTTGCCCCAGGTTTCGCGGATGGTCTGTCGCTGGATGAAGTTGCCCACGCCGGTGCACACGGCGATTACCAGGAAGGTCTTGTTCCGGCAAAAATCCCGGGGAACAATGAGGGCCGAGTCGTGCACGGGGTCCAGGTAGTCGCCTATGCTGCGGGACGTCTCCAGCGTCCAGTCGGGCAGTCCAGCTGGGAAAGAAAATAACAATGGTTTAGGTCACAAAGGGGGATTAGGAAAACCATTGTCCCACCACTACGCTTGTGCGCATCCAAGTAGATGAGCGGCAGGTAGACCAGGAGCAGCAGGAAGATGATGAAGGCACTCAGCGTGTAGCAGCCCAGGCGTCTCAACATCCTGGGCACTGGCATGCGAGTCCTGTGCTGCAGCTTTCTCAGCTTGGCTTTGCTCCGCTGCGCTCCAGCAGTGGTCACCGCGTCCTCTTCGGACCCGGAGGCAGCTGCTCCCGAGCTACCGGAACTGTCCACAGCCAGGAGGGCGCACTGCTCCTCGCCATTATTCGAGTTCCAAGTTCTGCTCATTTGGCCTGTTGGTTCGCTTATCTCCGCATTTCACTGTGCGGCTCGCATGGAAACTGCTCTTTTGAAATCAGCCTGCTTCTGATAAGCCTATCTGAACAGGGCTCGCCTAATCGACCGCACTTGTGATTCACATTTAATTGGTTTCAAAAGAGCTGAGCAAACTTAATAATAGAAGTTCTATCCGAATTGATAAAATTCCGAATCGCTGTGTCAGCTGATTGCAGCTCGAAGAACTCGTGACTATCGATATAACCGGATCATCCCTACAACAGATTATTCTTGTTTCTTTTTAAAATTTGAAATTTCAATTTGAAATAACCTGGAACATGGTGAGAATTTAAATTTTTTAAACAAACATTTTGTTATATTTTCCATATATGGTACTCCTCTGGGATCAGCCCACAGGAAACCATAGAAATCGCATATATCTCCACTGTCGAATTGGTTCGACGATTTGTTCGTTGCAAGTTCTGCGAACATTATTTTTAGATCATTTTCGGGGTATTATGCCATGTAATATTTGTTTTGTAAATTTGGGAACCTTAATTAAAATTCCTTTGTCTACAGACCATTTTTCACAAATGATGATTCTGCAAGTATTGACATCCATTGTAGTGGATAGTTATGCGCTTTTTAAAAAGACCTCCCTGGCTGGTCCTAATTTATTTACCGTCTCGTGTTAATTCTACCGTTTTTTAGTCAAAGCCTACGATTTAGTTTAAATAGTGGAGGATCAATGGGTCACTGGATCATTCGATCCAGTGGAGTGCATTTCGCCCAGTTTTGTGATAATTGCAGCGAAGTGCAGCCATTTAGCGTACAACTCTTAATACGCACTAACCCTAATAAACCGCAATTAACTTTAAGGCAAGCAGAGAGATTTAATGATTATGCAATTTGTATTGAGTAATTAAAATTTTGCAATAGTTTCTTAAATCGTTTAAGACTGAGAGAATGTCCTAGAGCCCACGAAAAGCGCACGGAGAGATTGGCGGATATTCAGGATGGGGGCAGAGAATGTCATAAGCAAATTAATTGCTACTTTAGGCGAGTTCAATTTATTGTTTTCTTATTATTTTTTGCTGTACATACAATTCATATGTAAATAAGTTCGAATTAAAAACATGTAAACGACATTAGTGTGCATTTTAAATGCGTTATTGGGTTATCTGTTTTAATTTAACATTTAAACAAGTATTTTCTATTGTAAATCGAATTTCTATGTTTTTGAGACATAGATTTTTTAAGAACATTTGTACTTGCAAAAACTATGAAAAAATCGATTTAAATGTGAGTCTCTAGACAAATACCTATTTAATAAATTTTAAATTTAGTTACATGCTTGGCTCACAAGGACTTGGGCCTAATCATCATTTCTGCAAATATTAGCGAAGTCTTGTCGCTACGAAAGCCATTCCAATGAATTCCATAACCATACGGTGATTTTCCATCTTTGTAGTATTTTCCAGTGAGCTTACTGTAATTATAATTTTTGTAAATTAGTCATATTTAATCAGTTAATTTGAATAAGTATACCAGTGATAACAGCTGTGGTACCACCAACCACCAAGAAAATATTCCGCACAATTATTAGTTCTATCAATGTCATTGTCACGATCAAATGTGGTGAACTTCATTCCCTTATGTTGGTCAAACGAGTTTCGTTCAGTACCAGAATAATTTCCCAAAGATTTAAAAGCGTCACTACCGATTTCAAATTCATCGTAATGAGCATATACAGGGGTTCTATTAGCATCCTCAAGCTTAAAGGAGAGTTCGTGTGTTTTATCCTTAGTCAGTTGGTGAAGTTTCTCCAGCCCAATGAAGAATTCTCCCCTTAAGTCGCCAAATCCATTCTTATAGTCCTTCCAGTTCCGATTGAAGTCCTCTGTTCCTGGAGCCTGACGCCTTAAAATAACCATCCAGCCAGTGGAATTACAGGAAGCATTAAAAATATCCATCCCGGGCCTATTTATTTTGTATGTTCCATTTGGATGACCGGTGGGGCATCTGTCTGTTCCACTACACAATAATAGTTCTTCTGTTACTTTGGATATTTTTGCTAAGTCGGTTATTGTCTGATTATTTAAGCCATCGATTTTCTTATCTTTGTTAGAAATTTGTTCACAAATTTTTTTTTTTTTTATCTCCTTTTTATTTATTTCCTTCCCCCTTCCTTTTTTTTTTTTTCTTTTTTCCCTTTTTTTTTCCTTTTTTTTTTTATTACGTCATCTTTGTTTTTCAGCTCTTCATTTTTGTCATTAATTTCCTTAATATAAGCTTTAATAAGCTCTTCCTTTGTTTTGATTTCGTCTTCAGCACTTGATACCCGGCTTTTAAAATTATTGATATCAGCGGTCATATTATTCACTTTATCAACGTTTGCATTTAACTGTTCATTTAGAGCCTTATTTTCTATATCTTTCAATTCTAATTTGTCGTCCTTGCTTTTTAGCTCTTCTGTTCTGTCATAAATTGCCTTATCTCTAACTTTTAAAAGATCGTTCTTTGTTTCGAGTACTTCTTCAGCATTTTTCAACCGTCTCTGCAGGTTATTTATATTTTCTGTTATATTTTTTATTTCATCATCTTTCTGTTTTATCTGCTCACTTTGATCCTCAATTAACGCATCCTTAATTTGTAAGGCAACATCCATATTTTTTAGTTCCTCCGCGTTTCTCATATTTGTTACACTTTTTTCTTCATTGGTTTTTATTCGATCTTCAGCAATTGCCAATTTACTTTTAAGGTTATTAACACTATCTAATAAGCATTTTTCGTTGTCTTTCAGCAGAACCAAATTATCAAGGACTGTCTTGTGCATCGCAAAGCAATAGGCGGAGCATTTATTTTCCACATTTTTAGTGGGTTGGCTATGCAGCCAATTTGCACTGTTTGCAAAAGATACCTGCTCGAAAACAGAAATTATAAGAAAAACCACTAAGATTGCCGGTTTCATTATGTTGAACATGCGAATTGTGTCATTAGCGACTATGACTAAACTAAATTCAAACCAACGGTTGCAGATATATTTATTTTGATTTCGTTGGAATGTATATATATATAACAGAGAGAGGAACGCCTTCACAGCATTAACACTCAAGTCAATATATCGGTGTTATTACTATATCAAAAACAATGACTAATATTTTTTTTATGAAAAACGCCTCTACATTTTTGTACCTCTTTTCTTTCTCCCGAAAATCAAAACATCCTCATAATTTCAGTGCTTAATAATTGTCTATGTATAAATTTATTTAAAATGTTTTATGTACAATGAATTCGAAAAATGACGCTCCTAGTCAAGTGTACCAAAAATTGCAGTGTTCGAGCGCTTTGTGGAGGTCCAAGTAATGAAGAAGTGATTGTGCTGAAAGTCAGTGATTGGTCTTAGCCTAGGTTAAAATAAAAACGGACTACACAGAAGCTCCGTCAGATTAATATGTAAAGGATGAGAAGCCAGCCCTTGTAAGGTTTAAATTGCGACAATGATGACCCGGGACCAGCCCTAGAAATCGGCGTCCAGGGTGAAGACGTTGTCCAGGCGGTTGGTGGCCACTCCCATGCGCTGGTACTCGCCCACCTTCTTCTCAAAGAAGTTGGTCTTGCCGTCCAGCGAGATCATCTCCATGAAGTTGAAGGGGTTCTTCGTGTTGTAGATCTTGCCGACGCCCAATTCCACCAGCAAGCGATCCGCCACGAACTCGATGTACTGCGACATCAGATCGCAATTCATGCCGATGAGGTTCACGGGCAGGGCATCGGTGAGGAACTCCTGTTCAATGGCCACTGCATCGCGGATGATCTCAATGATGCGCTCGCGGCGGGGTCGCTGCACCAAGTGCTGGAACATCAGCACGGCAAAGTCGCAGTGAAGGCCCTCGTCTCGGGAGATAAGCTCGTTGGAGAAGGTCAGTCCCGGCATCAGACCGCGCTTCTTCAGCCAGAAAATCGAGGCGAAGCTGCCGCTGAAGAAGATGCCCTCGACGGCAGCGAAGGCAATGATGCGCTCCCCGAAATTGGCCGACTTGGAGGAGATCCAGGAAAGGGCCCAGTCCGCCTTGCGCTTCACAGCCGGCATCGTCTCGATGGCGTTGAACAGGTATTCCCGCTGGTGCGGGTCCCGGATGTATGTGTCGATCAGCACACTGTACATCTCCGAGTGCACGTTCTCCATGGCGATTTGGAAGCCGTAGAAGCAGCGTGCCTCCGTGATCTGAACCTCCTGGCTGAAGCGCTCGACCAGGTTCTCATTTACGATGCCATCGGAGGCGGCGAAGAAGGCCAGCACGTGCGAGATGAAGTGGCGCTCGTCGTCCTTCAGGCGGTGCCAGTCGGTCAGGTCCTTGGACAGATCCACCTCCTCCACTGTCCAGAAAGAGGCCTCAGCCTGTCAATAGAAAAGGGGGAATAAAGTCGATGGAAACAAAAAGCAACTTTTATTTCTATTTCTGTTTCCTGTCTTAAATTAATTTTATTTTCAATCCTAAAATTTATTTTACAGGGAAAAAAGTTTAATTTACTTAAAAACCTGAGACCATAACTTTATTAAAATTAAAAAAAAAAAAATAAAATGCAAGTAAATACTTTTAAAACGATTTTACATTGCTACTTATTATTCATATCCACGTTGCTACTTAATTTTTCCGGTTTTCTAAAGTCAACATGGTGTTTTATAATTGTATGCCATAAGGGGAAATCACAAATTTAATTTGTATTAGGGAAACTTTTATCACGAGTTAATTAAAGCAACAAAACTGTAAATGTTGTTACAAAAAAGCAATTAAAGCCGCGGAAAAGTAAATGGTTATATTGCTGAGTGTACTCTTTATCTGTGGTTCATTTTCCCGCCAAAACGAAGGCGTATGTGTGTATGTACATATGTTGACATTGGGTAAACCATGATGCAGTGAATCAGCGGAAGGGGAAGGGCCGAGGATTTGGGGAGGGGGTTGTTTGGCTGGTTATCATTAAGTTTGATTCATGCAATCAAACACGTTGAGTACGTGACCGGCTTTTGGCGCGCTTTATCTCGAAACGCCCGCCCTTTCATGGTTTTTGCCGCCCAAAATCCGATTTTCACCACCAATGCAAATGGAAACATTACGCTAGATGGGCATATGGTATACACACCTTCTTGTACATCTGCCAGATGTCGTGGTACTGGATGGGAAAGATGACGAAGCGCCGGGGATTCTCGCGCAAGAGGGGCTCCAGCGAGGGATCGAAGGGAGTTACGGACTTTTCCATGAGGGAATTGGCAGACTTTCCGACTCCGTTCTCCGTTGAGGATTCCTTGACCACCTGGCCGTTTGCCTCGTGGCCAATGGACATTTTGCGAACGTTGCTGGCGCTCTCCGTCAGAATCTTCTTGCTGGGGCTCTGTTTACAGGGAAAACGAAGAAATGCAACCGAAACATGATTATTTTTTCGCTGCGTAGTACTAATTCCCGCGGGAAGACCACACACACACACACCCGTCGCGGCATTACGTCTATGTATAGCTGTGAACTTTCCAAATAAATTCGCGTGTCATTTACCTTAAGCGAGAACTTCTCCATGTTGTCCGCAATGTTTTCTTTGGACGCCATTTGAGAGTTGTTTATGGTTGGATTAGCCTTGCTTATATTATGCAGCAGTATCTCTGAGGAAATTCACTCAAAACGCGGTGTATCTTTAGCGAAGGGTTCGAAATTTCAGTGACAAATGATCTCGGAAATGCAGATACCTCGGTTTTTATGCCGGGCGGTAAACGTTTCGATTTACCGCCATTTTCGGTGATGGGAAAACGCTTGGGAAATCAGGGTTGTCGAGTGTCGCGAATATCTATTAAAAAAATCACGGGGAAATAAAATGGTAAGATAACAGAAAATAAAGTAAGGACAGGTAATTGAGCAATACTATTAGGTAAACAAAACAAAGTACTGATCTCACGGATTTTAATTTTTTGCAATCGATTGTTTTAAAACTAAATATTTTAAATTCATGCTGTCAACCCTAGACTATTCCAGAAATCGACCTCAGCTGTTAAATTCACTCAAGAGTGATAGTATTGAGTGGAAATTAATTAGCCCTTTTATTAACAATAAATATTATTTAATAAATAAAGAAAGCTCCATCTTTCCAAATATTTCGTTGCGAACAACATCATTATTAGAATTAAATAACCTACATTTTAGATTCGTAGAATATTTTCAAACGCAACAGGTGCTAAAATCACTCATTCCCAAAATTGTGAGTGGATTCCATTACAGCCCTTCATGCTATTAACATGGCTGTAACAGAACAGCTGTCGGTCGATTGTTATCGATAGTTGGTGTATATATATAAATTAGCCGGCTGAATAAAAATAGTAAATAGTTTAAAAAGATAACTAATTTTAAGAGTTAAAACATGGAAGCCCCGTCTTCGGAACACCACAAACGCCTTGAATACTGCACTACTAGACTCCAATACCGTCAGGGTCGGGAATTAAAAGCTGTTAAGGTGAAAACATGATAATGTTATTATCTTGCATTTATTTTAGAATTTGTATATTTTCCAAGGTCTATACAGTGGCTAGTGAGTCCCGGCATTTGCTAATCTTTGGTGTACCAAAAATAAACCTTCAAACCGAACTTAAGGCCAAACTACAGGGATTTGGTAAACTGCAATCCTGCATTTCCATAACTTCAGAGATGGCTTCAAAGAGTGAGTTAAGTCATGACCAGGATCTCCCGAATAACATTCAATATTCATTGTAGTGGAGCTGGAAGCCTTTACGGATGTGTTTGCCGTTGAATTCGAATGCCTGGAAGTGGCCAGGAGGGCCAAGAAGATGCTCGATGCCCGCCAGTTCTACGGCGGAACTTTACACATATCCTACGCTCCAGAGAGGGAATCCCTCGAAGAACTGAGAGAGAAGATGCTGCAGCGCAGACAGGAAGTAGCTCTACGCATTCAAAGGAATCAAAAGGACCAGCCACATGTGCCAAAGAAGAGCCGGGAGGCCAGATGACTACAGGATGTTAACGCTTTATTCAACTTAACTCATTGCATTGAACTTCTAAGGCAGAACGATGTCGGTATTATCGTCACAGCAGAGTAACCTCAACTCCCTGTCCGTTCACTTGGCCGTCCCCCAATCCTCATGTACTATTTCTGCTTCGTCCGGCGCAGGTCGTGGTAGTAATTCAGCAGGCCAATGCGTTTCGCCCAAATCTGTGCTCCGTACGTGGCCCAAAATCTGCGGATTACAGGCGGATTAGAAAGAGGAACCCAAAAAAGATACGCATTCAGCTCACATGCCGAACATGGCACCGCCCAAATGAGCCGCATGATCGAAGAACTTCCAGCCCAGCACAACGCCGGCAAAGTCAATGCCCATCAGCACTTTTATGCCCGCCCCGGCGGAGAATGTCAGCGCGGGCAGGAACAGTATGCTAAGCTGGGTATCCGGATACTGGGTGCACACGTAGGCCAGCAGAGTCATTATGGCTCCAGACTACAATGAGAGCAGTTTAAGTGTATATTTATCGATCTGCTTCGGGCTATTCTTACCGCACCCAGGGACATCCCCGCCTGGCTCGTGCCCGCTTTGTAGAGCACGCTCATCAGGCTGGAGAAGACGCCGGCACTGAGGTAGACCGCCAGGAACTGCTCCTTCCCCAGCGAAAGGACCGCCGCGTTGGCAAAGCTGTGCATCACGTACATGTTGGCGAATATGTGCATGGCCGAGTAGTGGCTAAAGGTGGACAGGAACATGGGCCAGCAGACGACTCCTATGTGGACGGAAGAAAGTATAGATGTTATTGTTGGTTGCATTCTATAAATTAGTAAAAAGTTCTTCTTGTAAACTAGTTTAATACTGCAAGTCCTACAGGGTTAACCTGTTGAACAGTGTTTACAATTTTGAATGGTCAACTAATTACCTAAGAATAACCAAATGAGAACAAGTACTACAGGGTTTACCTGTTGAATAGTGTTTACAATTTGGAATAGTCAACTAATTACCTAAGAATAATCAAAATGAGAAAAAATTGTTCGCTCTAAAACGAAATTCTTTTAATTTGTAAAGAGTTCTCGTTGAAAACTAGTTTAATACTGCAAGACCTACAGGGTTTACCTGCTAAATCGTGTTTACAATTTCAATAACTACCTAAGAATGATCAAAATGAGAAAAAATGGTTCGCTCTAATTAAATTTTTCAATTTTCAATTTTTCTCTAAATAAACTTTAAATATATTTCCGAAAAATAACCGAAAACATTGTTATATAACAAGATGGTCAAATTAGAATAGTTTGCTTATGGTATGTATTTATTTAAGTTACCACAAATAAAGGGGATTTTGTTCTTATAAGCCAAACCGTAAACTTTTATCTAATTCTTCTAAAGAATACAAAATTTTAAATGATTTTACATCAGATGTATGTAATAGTTTGTGGCAAACATTAACATGTTTGACAATGTGAATGTGAAATATAGCAAGGTGTTTGCAATTATTGAAAAATTCTGATCCCCACATTCGGGTAACTAAAGTCTGAAGGGTGATAATGATAATGATAAGTTTACACAGCTATTCCTGTGCGGATTTTGTGATTATGAAATCAAACTTGTCATACTGCCTAGAAGTATGTGATTTCGTAAGGTTTACCTCTTGTGATATCACTATTCAATGGTTTTGAGATATAGCTTTATAGCCCTGTGTTCTCTGTTCGATTCTAGCACTTACTCGCCGCTGGATTGGAGGTGAAGTAGGTCATCATGGTGGATCGCAGGGCGGGCACCCGCCACATGGCGAAGGCCACTACGTTGCAGAGGAAGATGGGGGCGAACATCTTGTCGCCGGGCGTCAGTGA